TAGACTGGTAAGAAGCTTGGGATGAAACTAATACGTCAAAACAAACGTTTCTCTCTCCCTCATTACTACATTTATTTGTAGAGCTCAGGAGCTGCCGGTCCTCCAATCAAGTCTCTTGTGTCGTTTATTTAGTCTGCCGCCATTCTCCCAGAGCAGGAAGTGGAGGCGCATTAAGGATTGATTATTGATGTCTGGCCCCTCTTAATGCAGGAGGAATTGGGGAGGGGGAGAATATCAAGACATGGATTATTAATGCCTTGAGTGTCATTATCTAGTAGTTTAACAGCGCTTAGTGAAGTAAAGCTAGTAAATCACATGCAGGCACTGAAGCACTTTCCAAAACAAGCTGTCCTACATTTTGATTTCGTAAAATCTTTTTCCCAATAAACACACAACCTTTCCATAAGTTAGTTTTGTGTTGTAGGCCTTGGTTTGCGAACGTACAGCATTTTAGAGAAGTAGTTAAAGGAGAGGTGTCATGCTTTTCCGGTTATTACCCGTCCCCTTGTGTGTTATGAAGGTTTTTATGCATGTAAACGGTGTGCAGAGTCAAAACCCTCAAAGTACACCCTGTAGCGAGTAAAACTCTAACACAGAAAATACCTCCCCAAAACGCCTCGTTGGAGATACGTCACTGCCCATTTGAGTCTTCCATTTCGTTCCGGGTACGGCATGATGTCAAGCGGTACCCGGAACGAAATGGACCAATCCCGAAGAGCCGTTACGTTACGTCCGCGGAGCCGTTACGTTAAGCCCCCGCTGATTGGTCCAAATTGACCAATCCACGGCTTCCTCACACACACACACATCTGTGTGCAGGGAGCAGGCAGCTCAGCTGATTTCTCCTCCCTGGCTGCAGGCTGATAACAGACAGTTGGGATCGCGGCAAAATTCTCTCTGCAGACCCATTCTCACAGCGTTTATCAACCTTTTTCTTACTCAATATCAAGCCACACTTATTGTTTTTACTTCGGATGTGAGTTTGTGTGTGCTCAGGATGAATTTGGCTGTGTTTCGCTATGTATCCTAAACAAGGAAGCAACACCTCCACGGAGCTCAGCGCGATTCACAACGTCCCGACCAATCAGAGCACACTGTGCTCACAGGGAGGGTGGGGGCTGGAGCTTTGGGAGCTACAACGAGCCGTTAAAGGCAGAGAGTGAAATTCAGTGAATACAAGTAGTTTACAGAAATGCTGTATGAGAAACCAATGTGAGTTTGGAAAAATGCACAGTATAAATCTATTTTAGTATACCTCAACAATGGAATTATGATCAGTGGAAATGGCCATGACACCTCTCCTTTAAGTTATTTTTTTAAATGTCTTCCACAGTAAAAGAAGCATATTTCTAAAAGTAAATTTGATGTTTACTATTGATCCTAAAAAACTAATTGTGTCTGTAGTTGCAAAACAATATCAAGGGCTAAAAGTTGTCTCTTGTCAAACTGTAAAGTCACAAAGATGTTGGACGTTAGTATTGCAAAGTAGGTTTTTACATGCAAGAAAATTGCGTTGCTCTTTCTTGGTTTATAGACAAGAAACGTCATAAGAGAAAATTATAAGCAAGTACTGGAAAAATGGTTGGAAACCTATCAGTAATGATCCCAGAGGTGCTATATTTAAATATGTCATTTAGATTAAGTACATCTTATTTCAAAGAAAAGCAGAAAAAAACATTCTTGATGAATGACTGCTTCATACATTTTCAGTACAGTAGCTGATTATTTGAGTGTCAATCAACAAATTGATGAATCGTTTAAGCTCCACATAAAATTGAATACTTTACGTTCAAGTAATAGATTAACCAATAAGTCTCTGCAGTAGAATATCATGTTACATAATAGTTTTTTTATTGCTGGCTCTGCAGTCAAATGAAGTTATTATACCCAGTAGCTTTTTTTTTGTTTTTTAAGAGCTCTCTTTATTCTACAACTCTTTACACTCCGCTTGGGTTTCCATCTCTCCGAATTTCCCAGCATCCCCGGAGCGGTGTGACCTCAAATTCCTTCCCCTGAGGGGGCCGGTTTATGGCTCAGTGGTTCCCTATAAGGGCGGGTTTATTCTGCTCAGGTGGGGCCGCGGACAATACGCCCTTTCATTCCCCGTCCTCCAAGATTTTTATGTCCCGACGTCCAGGTATCCTGAGCAACGCCTGTTAGCTGAGGGACTCACTAAGGTGCAGATAAAGTGTCTCTGCAGGGAAAGGACACGGGTTCGAATCCCAAAGGAAGCGAGTCAGGAGGAGAAGTATAGAGTTGTTATCAGAATCAGGTTTATTACCAGGTAGGTTGACGCGTACGAGGAATTTGACTTGGTGTCGTATATACATAAAAATAAAACAAACATTTTAAAAACACAGATATGGAACTATCTTAAGAACATTATAATAACATTAAAAAATAAGGACAAATATAATAAAATAAAAGCTAAATAAAGCAGTATTTACATTGAATATTATATCAAAAGATCAAAATCAGGATTATTCAAATATATATATATTTTTTAATCCATGTTTTCTTTTGTGAGTAAGGGTCAGAATACCCCTACATTTAACATACAACATGTTGCATCTTTTTTTAAATGTTCCATACAATTGGATTATCTGTCTACCCTCTAGGGCTGCAGTTTATAAAAAAAAAACGAATTGTGATTCGTCTGGCCGATATTCTTGCGATATGATTGGTGTTACTAGAGGAAATTATCATTTATTTATTCACAGTCTCATTGAAATATCTAAAATAAAATCTATAAAATGAGGATCTGTTCCCAAAAGAGGTTATTTTATTCACTCTGGCAAATATGGTTTGTAGCTTAGGACAAATGACATGTATGAATTGACTCTGCAAATAACTGCATTTTGCTTTAGATGTGCATTGAGTATTTGATATCTGAAGAAGTCTACAGAAACAAGACACTAGTGCATTAAAAAAATCTGTTGCTGAGGGAAGAATGAGTTTGTTGTTTGACGGAGAAGCAGACCGAAGGATTTAGAGACAAGTTTGAACACGAGGAGGAGTGAACGTTACCCGACACCTAGAGGCTTTTTTTGTAGGGTTTGGAGAAACGTGCATTTTATCTCTCTTTCTCTGCGAGTTGACAGATGTAATCGTTTGTTGTCTTTGAGTGAGACTTTCTGTGTGAGTTTGAGTCTCCATGTCACTCACTAGCCATATATATATATATATATATGTGTGTGTGTGTGCGCCAGGCGTCTTGCCTTGTGTTTTCAAAGGGAAATTGATGTGTTGGGTGATTTAGGAAGGGTGTGCTTCCTGTCTTGGGGGCTCACAACAGACGGTCCTTCCTGAACCTGCCTCGTCTTGCCCTCCCTCGCTCTGTCTGAGTGTGTGTGAATGTGTGTATTTGTGTATGTGTGTGTTATCTCACCATCCTGCTGTTGTTGTCGGTCTCTAAATGGAGCAAAGAGCGACTAACAAACTCCAGTTTTTGTTGTGGCAGCGAGGTGAAAATATTTCCACTTTTCTGTTATCAACACACAGATCATTCACTCCCTCTCTCATATAAAAAAAAACACACACACCTTTGTTATGAAACCCAAAACTAACATGGCCTTTAAAAACGTAGTGCTGATCTCTTAAAAACTAAAGATTCAGTCGATACTAATACCTGTGCAGTTTAACAGATACCCAATTTGATACCAAATAAATTATTATAAGCATTTGCCTTTAGGGGTTATGCTTTTTATTTAATTATTTGCTTTTGATATAAAAACTACATTTTACAGGATTACATTTGAAAACATGATAACGTTATTTACTTTCGCCAAATACGAATAATTTGTCATTTAATTGGAACCTCCGTTAGCGTTAGCTGTTAGCTCCGTTATTTTCCCAAGCCCTGCTTCCCACTTCCCGCTCTCCTGCTGTTTTTAACACAGATTTTGTTGTTTATATTTAATGAATCAATACTTAGTTCAGTTTGTCTTCGATTGTAACTTCTAACATTCCTTTCAAATTAGTTGGGACCAAAATGTCCTCATATGGATTTTAGCTGGTAATTGGTCCTCACAAAGATGGCAAGACAAGCACACTCATACACACATTTTCCCTGTCTCACATCCCAATACGCTCCCCCGTATTCACTTTCAATAATACACACATGCACACTTACTCATGTACAGTGTGTGTGTGTGTGTGTGTGTGTGGGAGACTTTGTTCTCGGCCTCTTCAGCCAGAGATGTGTGAAAAGTGGGTCACAGGTCGGACCTCTTTGTCCCCTTCGGGCAAATTAAAAGTGACGGACACCGGCCACGCATCACCACTAATTCCCCCCTCCCCCCTCACACACACACACGCTCCATCCCTCTCGGCGCCTACTAATTGCGACATGCCGTTATCAGGGCCAGCGCCGGCAATTTGCAGAACATCCCGGGACAAATAATTTGGTAGTTAGTCGGACCGTCGGAGGCCAGTGTCGGGCCTTCAGGGGCCAACAGGTCACGGCACACTGAAGACAAGAGGGGGGGTGGGGGTCCTAACCTAACCAATGAGGGGTTGGCTTTCATTTTAGTGATGGGTTTACAACTCGAGGATGTAGATCAGGCGCACCTATGCAAAGAGGAGAGAGTGAGCCAAAAGTCATGATACTCAAAATGTAAGACAATATATCAATTCTAATATCAAGATATAACATTAAAATATTGCCCATCCCTGACTTAAATCTGTAATTATGTAATGTTATTAACAAGTGAGTGATCTAAATCAAATCAAATCAAAATGTATTATAGCCCCAAATCACAAGAAATGCCTCGAAGGGCTGTACAAAGCAAAAACAAAATACAAACGTCATAGCATAAAAATGATTACAACATTATACATCAACATAAGTATTGCCATGTGATAAAAGCATGTGACTGAAGTGATGGTTATGTTGAACGGAAACTAGGTGGTGGAAATCTATACTGTTATAAATACTGAATGCTGGTCCACTTGCTTTAATGTGTTCACTTACCTTGCATCTTCCTATTCTTCCTCTTTAGGGTTTTGGACCCAAAGAGCCAGTGAGACAGAAGAAGACCTGATATTGTGATATCTCCCATCATCCCTCCTCCTCCCTGAACTCCCGCTGAGGATTAAAGACTTTTATCTGGAGTTATCAGATCTCAGAAAGCTCCAGACTCCAGATTTCGGTTCAGGTCCAGCTTCAGTCTCAGGTTCTGCTGCAGGATGGCAGGTCCATCGCTCTGTCTGGCTGTCATGGCCGCCGCGCTCCTGCTGACCCTCAGAGCCGACGGTAAGACATTTTAATTCATTTCACATTGTATAAAAACATCAGAAAATGACCTCTCTTGGGAGTTTTTTGCTCTTTTAAAAAGGACTGTTGCTAAGAAGATGTTAAATCGTACTACAGAGGTTGTCGGGACATTAAACGTCATTTACACTTTAAAATAAATCCTAAAGTGTTGTTCACTTGTGAAGATTTTCCTGCAGAACAGAACATGTATCATAAACGCTTGTTTGTAATCCGCTGAGTAACTCATTAACCCTGCAGCTTGTTTTCAGTGAGATAAGCAGCACTTTAACATGAAAAGTAATTATGTTCCTCCTCTGTAATCACCGCCCTCCTCCCTGTGCACACAGATCTGTATCACAGCCCTTTTGTTAAAGCTGTGATTACGCGTCTATTGGCCGATAAAAGAGAGACTTTAACATGAACCTGTGGAAACAAAACAGAGGACAAATACAGTCAGAGACTTTTCCACTGCTTGATTTAGGCCCTAGCCACACGGTGACGAAACGGGTCGTATCCGCTACAGTTCTCTATCTTATAGACGGTTCGGCCACACGAGGCCGACAGGGAAACGCGGATAACGATAACGGGTCCCAAGGTGGGTAGATCTGCGGGCGCAACGCTCTGGGGGGCCAAACGGCTCCGTGATTACGCCCTATAAGATCATTTCCTGATAACGAAAATACTGACCGGCTGTCGGGAGAGGGGGAGGAAAAGAGAGACTCCGTGTATTATTCTTATATTCTTATATAGAGTCGTTATTCATTTGTTATTTATTGAGCTTTAAAACAAAGAAGACCTTTGACCGGCACTTTTATGATTTTGTCCGGAAGATTTAAACTTTAACGGACATGTTGACCGGCGGAAAAAAATTCTAACGGAAACTCTGCCGCACGGTCCCCTCGTCCCTTGGAAGAGGCGGAGAGGTGGGTGTTTTTCATCTGCTGGTGGACTACCGGGGAGATTTACAGCAGGAGCACACGCTTGCCTCGGGGAGGGAGAAAAAGCCTCTCCCCACCTCTGCTGCTAAATCCATCGCGGAGAATAAACAGTTGCAACCATGGCAACCATGCTCGGGAAGTCTTCTTCGCTGCTTTTGGTGTATTTTGTGGCGGAAGTACAGCGCCACTTACAGGCCCGGCATATGTACTACAGCGTCTCCAGCGGGTCGAGCGGTCTCGTGTGGAAGGACACGTTTCTAGTGCCTATTACGTGTGGACGGAAGACTTTTTTGATTTTGGTTCGTCTTCGTTTCCGTGTGGCTAGGGCCTAAGTTTCTGAAATAACTTTGATTTCATACTGAGACATTTTCACAAAGATTATCAGAGTTTGGGAAGTTTTTTAGCTTCTTATGTCGATTAAACTTGACTTTAATTGTTGTTTTTTTAGGACAGTGCAACTGAACACGAGATAACAAATTAACTATCTAATGCAATTTAATATTTTAATGAAATTATTGATATTTATTTGGCATATTTAGTTATCTTGTCATTATGTTTTTGAAGTCCATTGTAAGAAACGTAGTACAATCTAAAAAATTACACTACACAATAAGTAGAGAAGCGATCTTGATCAGATCATTCCTTCATTTCTAAATCATTCATCTTATTTATTGGGGATGAGATGCTTTTTATCTTGGTTTTATATCATTATTAACATCTTTTTCTGTTTTACTTGCTACAAGTTTCACACTGTTACAGATGAAACAATGATTCGGTGAAAAAATTATTAAAGAAATAACATTTCCAGCAACACAGTAAGCAAACTGTCTGTATGATTTGCAAATGATCACCTAAAGTGAAAAGTAAAAATTGATGATTTAAACAAGAAAGATAATGGCTTTCTTCATTTCGTGTTAAAAATAAAATCTTCTTAGAATCAAGCGAGTAAGGACTGAACATTTTGCATGTTAACAAGTTGTCAGGCTCCATTTTGTGGGTGTGAAAATGCCTTTTTACTGCAAAGAAAGAGACTTAAACGGGGAATAAATCTCCCTTTTATCAAGGATTTTTACAGCTTAGTGTGCATGTGTTATTATTCACAAAAAGTTCAGCTGTGAACATGAGAAATGTCTCCTTATGACCTTCAAACACACACAGAGAGCAGGCTGATAAGCGCAGGGCGGTGCTGACTGTGATTGACTAACTCGTCCACACACACACACACACACACACACACACACACACACACACACACACGCACTAATCTTGAAAGGAAAAGTGAAGACTTTCTTTCATCTTATCAAACTTTTTTCCACTCGTCACCTCCGTCTGTTGACTTCATCCCTTCCCCCTAAAAAGCCCTTACATTTATAATCAATTAGTCTTTTATTATTTACAATTTAAATACATAAATTATTATCTGTTGTATTGTGTTGCACTGTTGGAGGAGCCTGTGACCTAAGAATTTCATTGTTCATAACTACACTATAGCTATGCACACATGACAATAAAAGCCTTGAATCAATTAAATCAATGAGGAATTATAAAATCTAAAATCTTTAAACATGGACCATCAATAGCATTAAATGAGGGTTTCCCAGGCCCAGCAGCTGTATCTTTGCCCTCCACCTCCTCCTGCAGGAAGCTGTTGGACTGATTGTTGCCACTCTCACTTCCTCTCGGCACATTAACCACTTCCTGTATGGCGCTGAACGAGCTGTCAGCGGCGCTAAACGCTCCAAACAGCCATTGTTCTGCGGAAATATCCGTCAATCCCTCTGGAGTCATATTCGCTCTTTGAAACCCTTTGAGTTTATTTCCCCACGATTGATCTTTTCCCGTCAGAGATGCTGTTGATTTCAAATGACCAAAGGTTTTTGTTTAAATTCAGACACATTTTGTAGGAATACCACCTCAAAAGTGAGTCTTTAGAAATCAATTACTCACCATATGTTACCTTTTTAAAGGAAAATGTCCCCCAGAAGTCATCAGGTTTTCAGTTTATAACAATATAAAAAAGAGAATAGCAGCATATTAAGAGTCTTTAGTAATATTTGTTGCCATGTGAGGTCATTTTTCTTAAACAAATTAAAATATTTCATGATTCCACCACAGTTTTTTTTAGTACACAACTACACATTAACCCCAAGTGCTGTTTGTCTAGCATGTTAAATATCCATTCATAACGTTGTGGGTTTCCATTGTGTTTAATCCTACCATCGTTATTTCTTAGTATATTTGCAGACGGTGACTAACACTGGGTCGTAAAGTTTCTCTGCGTGAGATCATTACATTACATTGCATTTAGCTGACTCTTTTATCCAAAGCGACTTACAATAAGTGCATTCGACCAAGAAGATACAAACTTGAAGAAAACAGAATCATATAAGTACATCAGGTTTCATAGAGCCAAAACATTTCAAGTGCTACTCAACTAGCTTTAGATAAGCCAGTCCTTTATTAGTATATAAGTGCTTTGTTAGTAATTCTATCACTCGAAGTGGAGTCGAAAGAGATGAGTTTTCAGTCTGCGCCGGAAGATGTGGAAGCTTTCTGCTGTCCTGATGTCAATGGGGAGCTCATTCCACCATTTTGGAGCCAGGATAGCAAACCAACGTGTTTTTGCTGGTGGGAACTTGGGTCCCCCTCGCAGTGCGGGTGCAGCGAGCCGTTTGGCCGATGCAGAGCAGAGTGCACGTGCTGGGGTGTATGGTTTAACCATGTCCTGGATGTAGGAAGGGCCAGATCCATTCATAGCATGGTACGCAAGTACCAGTGTCTTGAAGTGGATTCTAGCAGTTACTGGAAGCCAGTGAAGGGAGCGGAGGAGCGGTGTGGTGTGGGAGAATTTAGGAAGGTTGAAGACCTGACGAGCCGCTGCATTCTGGATGAGCTGCAGAGGTCGGATGGCACATGCAGGTAGACCAGCCAGGAGGGAGTTGCAGTAGTCTAGGTGTGGGACGACGAGAGCCTGGACCAGAAGTTGCGTCGCTTTCAGAGCTGTCTGCAGAGCAAACTGATCCAAAACTGAGCGTCTACTTTAAGAAACTGGGACAAAGCAGGAGCTAAAACAAGCGCTCCCCAGTCTGCTTTAACCCACATTCCTGCCTTCATACTCTCTTTCTTATATTTTACTTGATGACCTTATCCTGTGTCAAAGCCGTTATATTAACAGCCCAGTTTATATCGTATGTTCTCTTGAGTATATTTAATGTTTTGTATAATTATAGCACCTTTTAATTCATATAGTGAAGCTCAAAGTGCTTTACAGTATGGCTTTAAAAAACATAAAAGCAGTAGGAAGAATACAAAATAAGTCCAATAAATTAAAAGATTCAAATAAAGACAGATCATTTAAATTCAAAAACTAAAACATGGAAACATCGACTCAAGAAATGTGTGAACAAGTGATGTCTTCAGTTGATTTAAAATGAATATTAATTGGTTGAATGATTAGTTTCTTAGTGTATTAAGCGTCCAAAAAGTGTATAAACTGGCCATCATCTGAAAGGTAAAGATACGTAGTTTAAAAAGTATTATGCGATTTAAAAAAAAAAAATAAAAAAAAATAGCAATGCATGATTTAATTAAAGGGAACCTATCATGCAAAATGCACTATTTGATGTATTTTATACATAAAGATGTGTCCCCGGTGTGTCAGGGAACTCACGCAGCGTCAGAAAATAAAACCCTCTCTCTTTTCCTCCGTACCCAAATCTCTAAAAACGGGGCTACAACGGAGCTGATCCGGATTTGCGTCCGATATGACGTAATATCTGAAATGTGGACCCACGGCACTATCAGAAACGTTGCTATCAGAAACAATGCCCGACTGTTTTGGACGTAATATGGTCGGTGTTTACATTAGCATCGCTAACACTCAGAGCTAACCTGTACTGGAGAGCATGTGTGTGAAGAAGCAGGAAATAAAAAGGAACTCACCTTGTGGTATAACCGGCAAGAGAGAAAGCCTTTGAGCTCCATACTGTTTCAGAAACAATCCGTGATAATCCATGATATGGCGTTTCATCACCGCAGTATTTAGTTTAGACAGTAGCTGCCGGGTCCCGCATGAGCTCAGCCCCCTCCTGTTTTATTTGTATCAATCTTTTATTTTTTTAAAGCTTTATACCCAAAATTACTTTTAGAAACAGGAAGTGAAATAGAGGGATATGAGGCATGGCTACAATGGGTGATCCGTTTGGTATTTTGAGCAAAACACTTCATAGACATGTTTTTTATATATTTGTATATATCTGAGACCTATGCTATTGCCTAAAAATAGCATGATAGGTGACCTTTAAGATAATATAAACCGTAACCAATCCTTAGTGGGAAATGTAGTTGCTGCAGCATTATGAGGAAAGAAATAAGTAAAGATAAAACAAAAAAAACTGTTATATGTACATTAAAACTTAAGTAAAAATAGAAAATCATATTTTTACGTGGTTATTAATTGAAACTAAGGACTGGATTATTATGAATCATTTACTTTCCCCCCCCTATTCATTGTAAAGTCTACCTACCTACTTTACAAAAATAAACGTATGACAAAGAAAAGCTGTTTTTTAAAAGCCACGACCAAAATAGCTGCCTGTTATTACTTCCCTTTAATCGATTCTCTCAGCTGTATTGATTTTGTCTTCACCACCAGTTTTATTATCTTTAATAAGTTGCATATTTGCAGACAGTGAGTCATCGTTGACTAAAAACCAAGTCGTAAAGTTTCTCTGCAAGAGAGCAGATAACTGAGAGTCTGCAGACCACACAAACTCAGCGTCCACGTTGTGATTCAGATATTTCAAATGAAACAAGATTTACATTTCTTTAGATGCTGTGTGCCTTAAGAGTGTGATTACCCAGCATGCTCTCTGCCAGACCTCAGTCTCCACTCTGACTGTCGGCACAATTAAGCACACATGTGGACGGAGACAGAAACACAAGCAGCCATTTCCAGCCTCAGCACAACCGTGTTTTATATTTAACAATAAAAACATGTATACTGCAAGTTTTCTTTGGTTTATCTAATAATAATAGTATTTTAAAGCTCCTTTTTAAACATAAAGCTCAACTTAAAGGTCACCTATCATGCTATTTTTAGGCAATAGCATAGGTCTCAGATATATATAAAAAAAAAAAAAAACATGTCGATGAAGTGTTTTGCTCAAAATACCAAACAGATCACCCATTCTAGCCATGCCTCATATCCCTCTATTTCACTTCCTGTGTCAAAAGTGCTGATTCTGGGTATAAAGCTTAAAAATATATAAGAATTGATAAAGAAAAAAAGGAGGGGTCTGAGCTCATGCGGGACCCGGCAGCTACTGTCTAAACTAAATACTGCCGTGATGAAACGCCATATCATGGATTATCAAGGATTGTTTCTGAAACAGTATGGAGCTCAAAGGCTTTCTCTCTTGCCGGTTATACCACAAGGTGAGTTCCTTTTTATTTCCTGCTTCTTCACACACATGCTCTCCAGTACAGGTTAGCTCTGAGTGTTAGCGATGCTAATGTAAACACCAACCATATTACGTCCAAAACAGTCGGGCATTGTTTCTGATAGCAACGTTTCTGATAGGGCCGTGGGTCCACATTTCAGATATTACGTCATATCGGACGCAAATCTGGATCAGCTCCGTTGCAGCCCCGTTTTTAGAGATTTGGGTACGGAGGAAAAGAGAGAGGGTTTTATTTTCTGACGCTGCGTGAGTTCCCTGACACACCGGGGACACATTGATGTATAAAAGACATCAAAAAGTGCATTTTGCATGATAGGTCCCCTTTTAAAGTGCTTTTTAAAGTATGGCAGTAAAAAATCAAATGAAGTTTCAAAATAAATTGTCATAGAATTAGAACAAATGTAAAAACAATTACTTTAAACTTTCTTTAATTTATTTAATTTTTCTTTTGTTCTTAAAGCAACTAGACCGACCATTATTATTATTATTATTATTATTATTATATCAAATGCAGCTCAAAGTGCTTTACATTATGGCATAAAAAGCAATTTAAAACAAAAAAAGAATAAAATATCAAATAAAATGGCAGAGAAATAAAAAGAGTACACAAGGTATAACAAATCATTAGTATCTGTCTGACTAATAGGCGATATAAATTATAGGAAAGTATAAAAGATCCACTAAAAAAAGACAGAGAAATACAAGTAGTCAAAATGGTAGAGATAATAATATAACCTGAATAAGTTCAAATAATAAAATCACTAATTTTTGTTTAGGAATTCCACTTACTATTATTTTCATTATAGATTATTCTGCTTCTCCTTTCATTACCTTTATTCTGTAGGCCAATCAGAACAGCCGTAAGCCTGACAGGGAGGCGGGACTTAGAGAAACTGTGTGCGAGTTTTCTTTTTTGGTTTGGACTGGGATGATGCCATTTCCAGACTTGGCAGATTTTTTAAGTGTCGCTGCGAGGAAATGTTTCTTCTACTTGGTTTTCTTTTCCTCTGTCCCTACGTTAAACATGAGTCGCAGACAGGCAGACAGATAGATAGATAGAGAGACAGGCAGACAGACAGAGAGACAGGCAGACAGACAGATAGATAGAGAGGCAGACAGACAGATAGATAGAGAGACAGGCAGAGAGACAGACAGACAGACAGACAGACAGACAGACAGACAGAGAGACAGGCAGGCAGACAGAGAGACAGACAGACAGAGAGACAGGCAGGCAGGCAGGCAGACAGACAGAGAGACAGGCAGGCAGGCAGACAGGCAGACAGACAGATAGACAGGCAGGCAGACAGACAGATAGACAGGCAGGCAGACAGACAGACAGACAGGCAGGCAGGCAGTCAGACAGACAGACAGACAGGCAGGCAGTCAGATAGACAGATAGACAGGCAGGCAGACAGACAGACAGACAGACAGGCAGGCAGGCAGTCAGACAGACAGACAGACAGACAGGCAGGCAGTCAGATAGACAGACAGACAGACAGATAGACAGGCAGGCAGGCAGGCAGACAGACAGAGAGACAGGCAGGCAGTCAGATAGATAGACAGACAGACAGGCAGACAGACAGGCAGACAGATAGACAGGCAGGCGGACAGACAGACAGACAGGCAGGCAGACAGACAGAGAGACAGGCAGGCAGTCAGATAGATAGACAGACAGACAGGCAGGCAGACAGATAGACAGACAGGCAGACAGACAGGCAGACAGATAGAGAGACAGGCAGGCAGACAGAGAGACAGGCAGGCAGGCAGGCAGACAGAGAGACAGGCAGGCAGACAGACAGATAGACAGGCAGGCAGACAGACAGACAGAGAGACAGACAGGCAGGCAGTCAGATAGATAGACAGGCAGACAGGCAGGCGGACAGACAGACAGACAGGCAGACGGACAGATAGACAGGCAGGCAGGCAGGCAGACAGGCAGGCAGACGGACAGATAGACAGGCAGGCAGGCAGGCAGACAGGCAGGCAGACAGACAGACAGAGAGACAGGCAGACAGATAGACAGGCAGGCAGACAGACAGAGAGACAGGCAGGCAGTCAGATAGATAGACAGATAGACAGGCAGACAGATAGACAGGCAGGCGGACAGACAGACAGACAGGCAGACAGATAGACAGACAGACAGGCAGACAGATAGACAGGCAGCTTAAAGTGTAGCTGTGCAGGGAGAACAAGTCCAGACATGACCACCTGCACGTCTGCACAGCGAGTGTTTTTACTGTGAGCTTCAAAAGAGAGGAGAGACGTGGAGCAAAAGAAACACGAGGGGAAGGAAAGCAGGCGGTGAGGGAGTTAAGGAGGACTGGAGATAAACAACATGAAAGTAGGACTGCATGAGGAAGTCTTTAGGAAACATTTAACATAGGTTGAAGTAAATCTAGCAAAACTTTGGTCTTAAAATTACTCTATGACAAGTACAAGTCCTGAAGTCCATGTTATTATAGAAGAAGCCAACTCACTGTATTGCTACATGTCCCCTGTTTCCCTACATGTCCCCCGTTCCCCTACATGTCCCCCGTTCCCCTACATGTCCCCCGTTACCCTACTTTTGTATTGTCTTAAACCTAATTTAATTAATTGTAAGGTGTCCTTGGGTGCTTTGAAAGGCGCCTCTAAATATATGAATAAATGAATTATTATTATTATTATTATTATTAATAATATTAATAAAATGTTGTTTCTCTTTGCAGCCGCAGGTCAGAACCCGGACCACGTGCTGCAGGGCACGGGGGTGAAACATGAGGCCCGGCGGCCCGGAGAGGACTCCACCATCTCTCCGGAGGACGCCGCGCGGTTCCTCAGCTGCTACTGCTCGGGACACTGTCCTGAGGACGCCACCAACAACACCTGCCAGTGAGTACAGACTCAACAGGGAGACAGACAGACTTACTATATAAAATGCATTATCAGGGTGTCCGCGGGGTCTTAAAAAGCCAATGTAACCGGTTAAAACTCGAAGTGGCGATGAGGTCTTAAAATGTATGGAAAGGGTCTTAAAAAAGGTCTTAAAAGGTATTACATTTGACTTCAGGATTCCTGTGTATACCCTGATTATATAAAATGCAGCTCAAAGTGCTTTACATTATTGCATGAAAAGCCAAATGCAATTTAAAATATCAAATACAATGGCAGAGAAATAAAACGAGTACACGTGGTGTTAGAAATATTTAGTATATGTCTGACTGATATATATATATATATATATATATATATATATATATATATATATATACTTTTCTATCAGACCGATAGAAAAGTCTGTCTGGTGAGGTTTGAGGAGGGGTTGAAACCTAAACTAAAGTGAGGTTAGGAAACTAAAGTGATTTTTGTTGCGTGTCTTCTCAGGACCAATGGTCAGTGTTTTGCTATCATCGAAGAGGACGAACACGGAGAGGCGATCCTCACCTCGGGCTGCATGAAGTATGAGGGCTCACACTTCCAGTGCAAGGTACGCATACACACAGATACACAGATACACACACACACACACACGAAAGGGTGGCAAAACAAACAGGGTTAATATCTGTATAAACACAGGAAGAGAAACCAAAACATGGGAAAATAAAAGCAATTATTGAAAAAATGAAATGATTTGACAAAATATTACAAATAAAACATGTGTTCAACATGGATAAATATACAAACAAATACAGTGAAAATGTAAGAACTGCTTAACTGCTGAAGTCTAAAAGTAGTAAAGTAGAACCAAATGTGGATACGTATTTTGTCAGAAAGTGTAAATGTAATTTGATTTCTCTTTATTGTCAGGACTCTCCGAACGCTCAGACCCGGAGGACGATCGAGTGCTGCAACACGGACCTCTGCAACAGAGACCTGCAGCCCACCCTCCCCCCACAGCCTCCCGCAGGTAACACTCTCTCTCCTCCTTTTAAAAATAAAAATGTATTTTATCTGTGTTATTGTGTTGCACTGTTGGAGGAGCCTGTGACCTAAGATTTGCATTGTCATAACTACACTGTAGCTATGCACACATGACAATAAAAGCATTGAATCCTCCCCTCCAGGTGTTCATACTCAGGTGTCTCATGTAGATTTAACCTCCACTGTCTCATTGTTTTCCAGAAGGCAGCCCCCACTGGCTGGCGTTCCTGATCTCCATGACGGTCTGCTGCTGCACGCTCATCTGTGTCACCGTCGTCTGTTACTACCGGTAGGACCACACCCCTAAATCACTCAGAAATATGTGGCATTTTCACATTTAAAGTCCATGCAAAGACACAAGCAGTAACTCTTATCTGCCTAGAGCAGGGGTGTCAAACTCAAATACACAGTGGGACAAAATTTAAAAATCGGTACTAGTCGAGGGCCGGACTGGTTCAATGTTTATTGCAAAACGTATTGAAATGAACTTATTGCACATATTAAACCTGGAACTAACGAAGCTTAAACTATTGCCTATAAAAACAACATTAAATAATCAGTTGCATTCATTTCCAATCAATCAATGTTTATTTATATAGCCCAATATCACAAATGTTACATTTGTCTCAGTGGACTTCACAGTTTGTACAGAATATCAGTATGACAATACAACACCCTCTGTCCTTAGACCCTCACATCGTACAAGGAAAAACTTCCAAAAAAGGAAGAACCCCACAGTTTAAAGGGGAAATGGGAGAAACCTCAGGGAGAGCAACAGAGGAGGGATCCCTCTCCCAGGACGGACAGACGTGCAATAGATGCCGTGTGTAAATTGAAAAGATAATACATTTACAACATAGGTAGACCAAATGTTTGGAAATGCATGGGTCTATAATAAGAAGATGAATCCACGAGGATATCCATCCAGGACTCATGATCCAGGACTCAGGACTCGACTCAGGATCCCGGCGTAGATAGACACCAAAAAGACATTTGGGGGAAGCTGGGTTATTCGGAACATGAGAGTACACAGGTACAGCCAGAGAGAAGGAAGAAGTAAGGTGTCCCCCGACAGTCTAAGCCTATAGCAGCTAAACTAGGGGCTGAATCTAATCAGCCCTAACTATAAGCTTTATCAAAAAGGAAGGTCTTAAGCGCACTCTTAAAAAGGGATAGGCTGTCTGCCGCCCGAACACAAACTGGAAGCTGATTCCACAAATGTGGAGCTTGATAAGAAAAGCCTCTGGCTCCCATTGTACTTTTAGAGACTCTAGGAACAACCAACAACCCTGCATTCTTGGAACGCAATGCCCTATGGCGCTATCTGCAGCTTTTCATTTCTTATGATTACATTTTTCCACAGGCCAACAACAGCTTAAAAAAAACTATTTCCCTCAAAGAAAAAAACAAACATGCCCTGTTGTCGTGAGAAAGAAAGTGCAGAAGGAAACATCCATGTAAACTCAGTGTGCTGCTCTGTGATGCTAGTTCAAGCCAGATACTTGGCATCTCATCTTGGGTGCAAGGTCATCAATGTTTGGGGTCAGGCTCTGAGCGGAGGAAACCCTCAGGATGGAGTGAAGGTGTGCGTGCAATATACCGACGGGCCAGATCTAATAGTAATTAGAAATTATCCTGCGGGCCGAAATTAAATCCACCAAGGGCCTGATTTGGCCCCCGGGCCTTGAGTTTGACACATGTGGCCTAGAGTATGAGGGGAAATGTATGTGTATACATGTATTTGTGTACATGAGTGTCTATGGTACTAACATAAAGTTGCTGCGGTATTTATAACTAGATGATGTTCTGTTAAATGTGGATGAAGCAGCTACAACGGGATCTTAGCCTACCCTTGATCTACTAAAAACCATCCAGAAAACAACCATTTTACTCACGGTTTGCTTGACAGTCCTGAGAAAGAATGACTTTAAACGTTCAACATATCTCCATAATGATTTAACGATATATTTGTACCCTTGATTAACTCCATACAGAAAACAACTCACTGTTTGCTTGTCATGACTTTCAACTCTCAACATATCTCCCTAATGATTCAATTAAGGTGGAAATGTGTATTTAGAGATGTGTTTCTGTGTTTCAGGTACAAGTGGCAGAGTGAGCGTCAGCGGTACCACAAAGATCTGGAGCAGGAAGTCTTCATCCCGGTTGGAGAGTCGCTCAAAGACCTCATTCACCAATCACAGAGCTCGGGCAGTGGCTCGGGGCTCCCCCTGCTGGTAGGGAGGCAGCACTGCACCAACACACATTTCTATATATTCACTCATATTCTTACATACATTATACATGTAATACATCTAAAAGACTACTGTGGTACAGCAGAAACACTTTTTAAAAGAAACACACGCTGACACACACACACACACACACACACACACACAGACACTGATGTACAGAAAGACACACACACAAAGAAACACACACGCACTCTCACACACACACTGACACACACACACTGACACACACACACACTGACACACACACACACAGTAAAATGTCTATTATCCTCTTACATTATTTAATTTCATATTCTATTGACATGTATATAGACGTGTTGCACTACTTTTTATTTTGTGTTTTATTATATATTGCATTGTTGGAGGAGCTCAGGTCAGAAGAATTGCATTGCCATTTCTACACTGTAGCTTTGTGCATATGACAATAAAACCTTTGAATCTTTTGAATATTAATAATAGGTGCAGCGGACGATAGCGAAGCAGATCCAGATGGTGCGTCAGATCGGGAAGGGGCGGTACGGAGAGGTGTGGCTCGGCCGCTGGAGGGGAGAGAAAGTGGCCGTCAAAGTGTTCTTCACCCGGGAGGAGGCCAGCTGGTTCAGGGAGACGGAGATCTACCAGACGGTGCTCATGAGACACGAAAACATCCTCGGTATACACACACACACACACACACACACACACACACACACACACACACACACACACACACACACACACACACACACACACACACACACACACACACACACACACACACACACACACACACACACACACACACACACACACACACACACACACACACACACGGGGTCTTTCGAGGCTATACAAAGTAGAACACAGTATCCGACCAAGTTATTTAAAGGTCACCTATTATGCAAAATCCACTTCTACATGTCTCTTCTACATCAACACGTGTCCCCTCTTCTTCATGTCTCTTCTACATCAACATGTGTCCCCTCTTCTTCATGTCTCTTCTACATCAACACGTGTCCCCTCTTCTTCATGTCTCTTCTACATCAACATGTGTTCCCTCTTCTTCATGTCTCTTCTACATCAACATGTGTCCCCTCTTCTTCATGTCTCTTCTACATCAACATGTGTCCCCTCTTCTTCATGTCTCTTCTACATCAACATGTGTTCCCTCTTCATGTCTCTTCTACATCAACATGTGTTCCCTCTTCTTCATGTCTCTTCTACATCAACATGTGTCCCCTCTGTGGAAAGAGACTCTGAAAGTTTCAGGAAAAAAAGATTCTCTCTCTTTTTGTCCTGGGCTGAGGGGATTATGGGATGCTGCAATGGTCTGTTTGGTGTTTCAGCCAATCAGAGACAGGTTCTGTATATATCTGAGACCTGTGATATATTGATGAAAAACAGTATAATAGGGGACCTTTTAATATACAATAATTCGTCTCATATAAACAGTTCATTTTCACGTTTCCTCATGTCACGTGTTTTTAACCCTCGAACCCTTCTCTCCGTCTTGCAGGCTTCATCGCGGCCGACATTAAAGGCACGGGCGCCTTCACGCAGCTCTTCCTCATCACGGACTACCACGAGAACGGCTCTCTGTACGACTTCCTGAAGCACAGCACGTTGGACACGCAGACGCTGCTCCGCCTGGCGTACTCTGCCGCCTGCGGCCTATGCCACCTGCACACGGAGATCTACGGCACGCAGGGGAAGCCCGCCATCGCTCACCGAGACCTGAAGAGCAAGAACATCCTGATCAAGAAGAACGGAGCCTGCTGCATCGCTGACCTCGGCCTTGCCGTCAAGTTCAACAGGTACGGAAACTGTTGCACTTTGTTTTTACATTTGTGAAAACTATAATGGTTATCTTGTGTTTCTTTTTTAAAATGTATATTACTTCTCTTGTAGCACTTTGGGATTACTTTTAGCAATGAAAGGTGCTTTACAAATACAATGTATTATTATTAGGGATGCTCCGATCGGTGCTCTCTATAAATGCCGATCAGGAGAGCCGATCACATGACGTAAAATACATGACACTTTTCCAAAATGGCTTCACCGGTCTGGCAGTATTTTAAGGTGTCCGAAAAAGACAGTAAAATAGCGGTATGCAACGTGTGTGAAGCAAGCAGACGGACAGACAGACGGACAGACAGACAGGCGCTAATTTCTCCCGTGTTATTATCCAAAGTTAATGTACTTCATTTGAATGTAATAATTATGTTGTTTGTGGAAGCGCCAGTGAATGAGCCTCATTAACTGAGTTTTAAACATCACTTTAAATGGAAGATCCCCATAGGCCCCGCCCACTCGATCGGCGATCGGTATCGGCCGATACTGATTCTGGCGATCGGCCCCAAAATTCCTGATCGGAGCATCCCTAATTATTATGATCTTGTTGTTGTTTTTACTTATTTATTTGATGTTATTATTAGGCCTTGAGGAAAAGTAAAGTTGTGAATTTTATCTTAGCAAGTTATTTAGATTCTTTGTGATTTTAATATTAAATAACCTTTGTATTTTTATCCTAAATAAATACAGTTTTAATCCCAGGTGTTTTGATTTTCTCACAAATTATTCCCGTTGCAAACATTTATTTCCTTTTTACTTCCTATCCCTCTAATTTGTCGTTGTATATTTCTCCTAAAAGTCAAATCTGAATATTCAGTTTATCTGACGGAAAAGTTGGGGTTTTGTGAAAGCTCCTCCATTTTAGAATAGAATAACATCAAATAAAACAATATGAAATAAAACCAATACATAGAGTGGTCCACAGGTTAAACCATATGCAGTAAACCAAACAATCTGCTTTATTGTGTGTATATATAATATTGTTTAAAAGTGAATTTGTTGTATATATGTGAAGTACAGTGTTTCCTTAGCATGTGACTGACTGCTCTCTATCTCTCTCGTTATTGTTGCCATAGCGACACTAACGAGGTGGACGTGCCGCTCAGCACGCGGGTCGGCACGCGGCGCTACATGGCGCCGGAGGTTCTGGACGAGACGCTCAACAAGAACCACTTCCAGGCGTACATCATGGCCGACATGTACAGCTACGGCCTCATCATCTGGGAGATGGCCCGGCGCTGCAACACCGGAGGTACGCACACGCACACGCACACACACACACGCAGACACACACACACACGTACTGACACACAGACGTACTGACACACACACAGACGTACAGACACACACACGCACCCACACACACAGACAGACAGACACACACACACACGAACTGATGTATTGCAACACACAGCTATTATGATTTCTTAATTGTTATCGTTTGTTAAAGCTAAATGGCCATACGTTTGCTGTTTTTCTTCATCGTAAATATAATATTTAAAGGTTTTTCATATGATAAAGAAAAGCATCGTTCTCAGCAAACATCAGCTGTTTCCTATCTTATCAAATCAGCACTGAAAAGAAGTCTCTCATGCTTAAATGTAATTAAGTGGCTCCATCTGCTGGAGAGAAAGTGTTACTGCAGGTCAATAAGGATATCTTTACCAAAATAATGTACAAATATCTCATATTTGATCAAATCCAAGCTGATGGCAGAGTCTCTCTCTCTCTCTGTCTCTCTCTCTCTCTCTCTCTCTCTCTCTCTCTCTCTCTCTCTCTCTCTCTCTCTCTCTCTCTCTCTCTCTCTCTCTCCGCTCAGGTATCGTGGAGGACTACCAGCCCCCGTACTATGAGATGGTTCCCTCCGACCCGTCGTATGAAGACATGCTGGAAGTCGTGTGTGTGAAAGGAGTCCGGCCGACCCTGTCCAACCGCTGGAACAGTGACGAGGTGAGACTTTGCTTTGGACATTGTAAAATGATTTCTAAAATATATTCATAAACAACTTTTTGGAATATTTTTCACATATTACATCTTCTGGATATTCATCTTATTTTTTCCCCCAGTAAATTTGATATATTTGATATAATATTTTCACTATTTATTTTCACATAAAGATTTTTTTACATATTTAAGGATAAGTTATTTATTAAACATTTCTCGTGAATTTCTGGGGATATTTTTCACAGATTATTTTACATAATTTATACACTTTTAAGACCTTTTCCGGATACTTTTTCACATACATCAGATATTCTTCCAAGACTAATTAATTTAATTAATGAATACCTAAGAAGTAATGATAATAATACATTTTTGTGTGTGTGTGTGTGTCCCCTTAGTGTCTGCGGGCGATGCTGAAGCTGATGTCCGAGTGCTGGGCTCCGAACCCGGCATCCCGCCTCACAATCCTCCGAGTGAAGAAGACGCTCTCCAAGATGGTGGAGTCGCAGGACATCAAGATCTGACCGCCCTCTTCCTCATCCTCGTCCTCTATCAGCGCCTCCCTCTTCATCAGGAGGAGGAGAGAGATAATAATAATGGACCCATTTCAGGGCTGAACTCTGTGTCTCCTCCTCCTCCTCCATCGTCACTGTGTCTGGAAACTAAAATGTGCCGTGTGTCATTTCGGATACTTTTCTTATCCATGTGTTACCTGCCATGTGGTACACTGCCATGTGGTACACTGTCATGTGGTACACTGCCATGTGGTACACTGCCATGTGGTACACTGCCATGTGGTATCGCCACTCGATGACGTAGTATGCTTGAAATAGTGGCTCTGGAGCAGCTTTACTCGACATTGAGAAACGGCCACTTTGTTTTTTGGGAACTTTGACCAGAAAGCGTCAAGTCATGTCATTGCTGCTGTGAACTGATTGAAAAGGACGGTCTCCGCTGAACAGGAATGTCTGAAATAATTTGTGAAAAATAACATGAATGTGAGAAAGCATTTCAAAACATTGGACATTTTTTTACTATGAATTTTTCGGGCGTTTTTCCAAATGCATTATAACAGACTTTTCAGATATTTCTCAGATCTGTTCGATCTTTTCGCTTCACAAGCAAACAGCAATTGTGTGACTTCCAGGATTTGAGACAATGCTACTGGGTCGAAATTCACAAAATACAAAGTGTGTACAGTTTACCACATGGCATTGAACTAAGGTATCAGAATAGAGACACAGCGCAAAAACAAACATGGAGTCCTTCCTCTTCCTCATCCTCCTCCTCCTTCAGAAACAAACATGGAGTCCCTCCTCTCTGCCGGTTTGACGCTTTCCGTGAAAGCAAAACGAGACGATAAAGATAATTTCAACGGAGGGGGAAACGATGCTCGTAAATGAACAGATTTTTTTTTTTAAGGACCTGCGTTGCCTTCCTCTGCCTGTTTAAACAAATGCCAATTTTTTGTTTTGTTATTTTCTCTTCAGGACTGAGTTCTCCTGCCATATTGAAATATATCTCCACTCTTAAGAAAGTAGAGTTAATTATAAGTAAGAAAAAAAAGGTACTATTATAATATGTGAATTAAAATGTGTAAATAAGTGTTATAATTAGATGCCATGCCTACTCGTGAGAGGGTTTAAAGTTAAAATATCAGAACACTATGCTGCAGTGGTGTTGACGTCCAGCCGACTCCAGGAGACGTCTACCGTCCTGTTTGTCCACTTCCTGTTCGTCTGTCTGTCTGTCGAGATACCTGATTGGTTGAGTTTAACCTGAGTGGGCGGAGCCAAAAGGACCCGTATACCAGGGTTCATGAGGATTATGTTAGGCATTTAAACAATTCTTAAATCCATTTGATTTGAAGTTATAATGTAAATATTTTCCACACTAGACAAGTTAAATAACAGCTAGACCTATATTACATACATCCAGTGCTGCCCCTGGCCAAATAGGGCGACATTTGTCATTTTTGTCAACATAATGGTGCATTTCATAGGTGAACATATAGGGCCAAATTGTAATGGGTTCTTCCTCGGACGATTCTGCACCTTTCCAGCAAGTTTTATGAAAATCTGGTTAGAAGTTTTTCCGTTATCCTGCTGTCCAACCAACCAAATTAAACAGATTTGCATAGATTCATGTTGGCTCCTCCCACTCTGATTTAAAAATAAGATTCCATCGTTCTACAATACATCAAGAGTCATTCAATTGGGCTGCTTTTTGGGAAATAACGTCCCCTTTAAGAATATTTGGGAATGTGTTTAGCCTAGCTTAGCACAAAGACTGGAAACAGGGAATCAAAACAAAATATTTCAAATGTTTTATCTGGTTTATCGGGATGTCGACACAGAAATCTCCTCGGCAGCAGAACGACGTATGTGTATGTGAACGTGTGTGAGAGAGATAGTGTGTGTGTGTGTGTGTGTGAGAGAGATAGTGTGAGAGTGTGTGTATGTGAATGAAGCTTACAGTTCATATTTAAGAGCAGTAACTTTAGTGTTTTCTCTGTAACAAATATGCAAGGAAACTCCCCGTATAGAAATAATCCCTAATATGTAAAGCTGTAATGTTTTTGTTGTTTTGGTGTTGTTTTGTTCAGCATCTGGTTCGGTGCCTTATGAGTTTACCAAGAAATGAAAAACTCTGTATACAGTCTGTCCAATGTAACGATTTTTAAGTAAATAACCTTATTTTAGTACACAACATTATTCCTGTTTTTGTGTTGTTTTTACTCTGAGGCTCATTTTCTACCAGGACAACAACGAGGAGGAGGAACAGTCGCCAAGAATGCATTTCAAGAAGTGCGAAACGTAACAGAACGTGTTCTTGGTAATAGAAAAACCTAACTTGAAAGGAAATTGACACAGAAAACTATAATATTTGTACTTGTTACGTAGCTTAAAATCGTGATATCAAGACATTTTATATAATTAAAAGTATTCATCACTTTTTTTGGTTTTATAGATTACACCTTTGTGTTTTATAATCATGGAAGCTCATTTCTGCTGAGAAAGGAGATAACACTTTTCAGAAGCCATTTTGTGATAGAAAAATGTAAACAAAATGATTTGATTGGATGTTTAATGTTAGTCAAAACAATGTATATAATTTTGCTCAAAAGACCAAATGATGGTTTTGATACCTTTTTAAAACAAATATATATATTGAGTCAATACTGTGAATGGAAATATTAAACTTATCCACACTTTATGTATCATTTTGATTCCTCACCTCTTAAAGTTAGTTATTTGTCACACTGACTACAAACATTGAACCAAATAGTCTTAAACATAAAAAAAAAAACTAACAGATTTGTTTTTAGGTGAATTGTATGATAAAGAATTCAGAAGACAATTAAGCTCCTATTTGTTCCATGTTATCCACCTTTATACTATGAAGGCTTCTCAATACTCTTAATTTCCCCTCCTCGACTCCTATCCCGCCCACAGGAGATGCGAGCGGAGGAGTCGAGGAGGGGAACCGAGGAGAGGGGAGGGGAAGCAGCAGGCGGTTAGAGAAATGAGAACTCCTCTCCTCTGAGCGGTCATTTTAAAGAGACGTCCGTTAATGATGACAGGAGGCACAGCAGCACTTTTAATTCATTGACAGTGCGGTATAATGAGACAATAACAGGCTACAGATGCGGACACACATATTTATATAAATATATACAATTTCAGAATCAAACAAGTATGAGAGCACTCTCATAATAACGTAACACAATCAGAGACTGGATATATCCCCCCACCCCTCTCTGGTCGCTGAAATGGGGAATTGAAATTATTAGTTTTATTTACAAGTATTAAAAGTAAGCATAGGACACCAAACCAACTGAGGTCTGTCCGCCGCATCTACGCACTGTACAACACGCACTTCACACTGTACCACCAGGGCCGTATCCACCATTGAGGTCACCGAGGTCCGGACCGCGGTCATTTTTCCGAGCTGTGTATATAACTAAACTTGTGAAATAATTGCACTAAACGGGATATTTTGTAGAACTTCCATTTACTGCCGATGGGGGCGCTGCATAACTACGTAGCCTCGATTAAAGCAAACAGAAGAAGACGACATGTATCAACAAACCACCGCAGCCCGGGCCCGTTCTCATTTCATCAAATGTCCCTCCTCGACTCCCCTCCTCGACTCCTATCCTCGAGACTTAGTCCCGCCCACAGGAGATGCGAGCGGAGGAGCCGAGGAGAGAGGAGGGGAAGCAGCAGGCGGTTAGAGAAATGAGAACTCCTCTCCTCTGAGCGGTCATTTTAAAGAGACGTCCATTAATGATGACAGGAGGCACAGCAGCCCTCTGTCTGATGGACAGAACTGTGTTCATGACGACTTATATATTTACTTTTAATTTGTTCACAGTGCGGTATAATGAGACAATAACAGGCTACAGATGCGGACACACACACACACATGTATATATTTATATAAATATATACAATTTCAGAATCAAACAGAGCACTCTCATAATAACGTAACACTATCAGAGACTGGGGGTGTTTCTCAATCGCGAGTAAAGCTGCTTCAGAGCCACTATTTCAAGCATACTACGTCATCGAGTGCCGCCGAAGTACTGTTCCAATCTCTAGTATACTTGGAAATCTACCGAGCCCGGCGTACTCCGTTTGGAGAAATATCGAGTCTGCACATGAATAGACTTCGCGGTCTTAAAATCCCCACAATGCTTTGCGCACGGACCAATTTCCCCAAATCTGTGGCGGAAGATGTAAGGCGGGGCCTCTCATATGACGCACACCTGCACACTTGCTAGCCTGTTCCACACTTCGTTTTCCGAATGCCAGGAAGTATTCTTGACTTGCTTCTGAAGCAAGATGCTCGGCAGACATGTGCTACCAAGCAAGCGTACTCGCGATTGAGAAACACCCTGGATATATCCCCCCCTCAGCTTTGGTAAGGAAGAGACAGGACAGGCAGAGTGAGAGAGAGAGAGAAAGTGATGGAAGTCAGGGAGGAACTGCAGGTATAGTCACACAAAATAATGTAGGCTTAATAACCCCATCTGTAGCTATCTATCTATTTATCTATCTATTTATCTATCCATCTATCTATTTATTTATCTATTTATCTATCTATCTACCTATCTATCTATCTATCTATCTACCTATCTACCTATCTATCTATATATCTTCTATCTATCCATCTGTCTATCTATCTATCCATCTATCTATCTATCTATCCATCTATCTGTCTATCTATCCATCTATCTATTTATTTATCTATTTATCTATCTATCTACCTATCTATCTATCTATCTATCTATCTACCTATCTACCTATCTATCTATATATCTTCTATCTATCCATCTGTCTATCTATCTATCCATCTATCTATCTAACTCTATCTATCCATCTATCTGTCTATCTATCTATCTATCCATCTATCTATCTATCTAACTCTATCTATCCATCTGTCTATCTATCTATCCATCTATCTATCTATCTAACTCTATCCATCTGTCTATCTATCTATCCATCTATCTATCTATCTATCCATCTATCTATCTATCTAACTCTATCTATCCATCTGTCTATCTATCTATCCATCTATCTATCTATCTAACTCTATCTATCCATCTATCTGTCTATCTATCTATCCATCTATCGATCTATCTAACTCTATCTATCCATCTATCTGTCTATCTATCTATCTATCCATCTATCTATCTAACTCTATCCATCTGTCCATCTATCTATCTATCTAACTCTATCCATCTATCTATCTATCTATCCATCTATCTATCTATCTAACTCTATCTATCCATCTGTCTATCTATCTAACTCTATCTATCCATCTATCTGTCTATCTATCTATCCATCTATCTATCTAACTCTATCCATCTGTCCATCTATCTATCTATCTAACTCTATCCATCTATCTATCTATCTATCCATCTATCTATCTATCTAACTCTATCTATCCATCTGTCTATCTATCTATCCATCTATCTATCTATCTAACTCTATCCATCTGTCTATCTATCTATCCATCTATCTATCTATCTATCCATCTATCTATCTATCTAACTCTATCTATCCATCTGTCTATCTATCTAACTCTATCTATCCATCTATCTATCTATCTATCTATCTATCTATCTATCTATCTATCTAACTATCTATCTATCTATCTATCCATCTATCTATCTATCTATCTATCTATCTATCTATCTATCTATCTATCTATCTATCTATCTATCTATCTGTCTATCTATTTATTTATCTACCTATCTATCTATCTTATGGAGGACGGAACATGACTTAAGTATAAATAAATAAATAAATAAATGTGTAAATAAATGTATGAAGAAATACAGGAATAAATAAATGAATACGTAAATAAATAAATAAATAAATACAGGAATAAATAAATACAGGAATAAATAAATGAATACGTAAATAAATGATGAAATAAATACAGGAATAAATAAATGATGAAATAAATACAGAAATAATGAAATACAAATAAATAATAATAAATGCATAAATAAATATGGAAATAAATACACCAATGTATAAATAAATAAATAAAAGTTGAAAATAAAACAGAACACACGTTATTATATATCTTTCATATATTTCTACATTTACGCGACATACATTTATTTATTTATGTGTCCGTATGCTAATGAGGTGGGCGGTCCTAACCTCAGTCTGAAGCAGGATTCGCCAATTGTTGGAGCCAGGCAGAAGCAAGAGATTCGTGGCAAGTCACATCTGTTCATTCTGTGTAGTGTCCACCCACGGCAACTCGCTAATAATGGCTTCTTTAATAATTGTTCTTTCGCACACCCGTTCGCGATGTCCCCAGCGGTGTGCCCCCAACGAATTATTGTGCTTCAATAACGTTTGGGGGCAACATGTAAGATGGACGCCCAAGGGTCGCCTCCTCTGTTTCCGAGAGGATTTCAAGTTGGCGGGCAACCTCTTGAAGACTCTCAAACACAGCTGGGTTAACATCCACATCCATGTCGAGCTGAGCCAAGTCCTCTATACATCGTTCCACACGAAACTGGACATAGAGAGGACATAGTCTTTTGGTTCTCCGTTCTCTAAATGGTCCGCTAATGATCTCCAATGGCTCTTAAACCAACACCCATAAATAATCCTTACAACTGTGGATAAACCATGGATGTATAAAGATAAGGGCTAAACAGTAAAGCTCCTGCATTCGAATCAGTGCGGTTAGCCAGGCGTTAGTATAGCCCTCTGCCAGAAATGATCACACACTCCTGTAACCAATCCTGCTTCAGACTGAGGTTAGGACCGCCCACCTCATTAGCATACGGACACATAAATAAATAAATAAATGTATGTCGAGTAAATGTAGAAATATATGAAAGATATATAATAACGTGTGTTCTGTTTTATTTATTTATACATTGGTGTATTTATTTCCATATTTATTTATGCATTTATTTATTCTTTTATTTGTGTATTTATTTCAACATTTATTTATTTCTGTATTTATTTTGTCATTTATTTATTCCTGTATTTATTTATTTATTTACGTATTTATTTATTTATTCCTGTATTTCTTCATACATTTATTTACACATTTATTTATTTATACTTAAGTCATGTTCAGTCCTCCATACTATCTATCCATCTATCTATTTATCTATAACAATAGTCTTCATTTACAATATAGACAATAGTCTATAAATAATTTTAAAACATACATCTATTGCAGTTGTGATGTCATAATAACATAACAGGGAGGCGTGTGGTGCAGTGGGTTGAGCGTTGGTGTTCGGATTCAGGGGGTCAGTGGTTCAAACCCCACTGCAGTCAGCATGTTGTTGTGTCCCTGGTTAAGACACTTCACCCCAAATTGCATTTTTGTTCTCTTTTGAGAATCAAACATAACAGATTTAAATAAAAAAAATAATGCAAACAAACAAGTGAAATGAACTAAATTGCTGAGTTGCTTTTAATTCACTGGCAGGAGCGACAAGTGAGGAGGAGCAAAAAGTGAACGAGGGAGAGATTGAACAAAGAGAAAGAGTAGAGGACAGAGAGACTAAAGAAGATGGAAGAGAGGCTGCAGGTTATGGAAAGGAGAGAGACATGGAAAATGAATGTTGACAATGTTTTGGGATCATTTTAGCCTCTTCTGCGTCCAGATCATTAATAGTAACAATCAACTGATTCTTATGCATTACACTTTCAAAGATAATTTATGCTGCAGCCCACTGACATGGTTTGAAATCAATATATTATCCAATCTGTGACCCCCCACAGGATTTAAAAAGCACCTAACTAGATCATGAAAATCCCAAAAATCTCAGGGGGGTATACCCCCGAACCCTCCTAGCATGTTTGGACCTCGGCATTTAGGAAATCCTGGATACGGCCCTGTGTACCACACACACCTACACTGTACCACACACAGCTCCTAAAGCATACAATAGGCTACATAAGGATACAGCCGTTATGTATTTTATTATGTGAAGCACTAAATGGTCTTAGAAAAATATCGACTCTTTGTTTGTAGATATCTACTAAACTACAGCATACAAATACAGAGAGTAATGTAGGCCTGTTATACTGAGTGATATATATTTTACACACTGCTCTGCTTTCTGCACGGACCTCACAGCTGTTCTGTGAACATCGCGTCGCGATGAAAGCAGTTACTAAAATAATATCCAGGGGATACATGCAGAGCCGTCATTGGCTGAGATAAGTCCGGCCGTGCGTCACGCCTCCACCGTTCCCGGAAATGCATCCGTGGAGGAACCATCAGTGTATCCTCGGTTATAGGTCCTCGATGTGCATTTAGAGAAATGAGATGTCCAACATGGCGCACTGAAATCCATTTCCGGGTCACTACCGGAGGACCGAGGAGTCGAGGAGTGGAAATTAGAGAATTGAGAAGCCTTCTATATTTCGCATCTCTTGGATAGTGACGAGTTAAACTCTTGCTCTGCAGGTTTTTCTAGACTCATTGAACGCACAATAGCGCCCCCTGCTGGACAGCCGCTGAGATGCAGATCTCACAAACCAGATGGGAAATTAACCTTTAAACATGGTAAATATTATAAAGTAACCTGCTGATTTCTTTAATTCCCTTACTGTAATGTTTAAAACTGATAGTATGTTTACCCATTTATGCATATATGCAACAACATAGAAACCGTACCTCTCCCTAAGGGACAAAATGTTCAATTTTCCAGCACAAAAAAAATACAAATATCAGGTAATCATTTACCCATGAAATTCCTATAAAAACTAATCCCGCAGGCACCTACAATAGAGACCTATGCTATTGCCTAAAAATAGCATGTTAGGCGACCTTTAAGTCTGCCAAACACCTGAGCTCTATTGAGAGCTCCGATAAACATTCCTGTCGTCATCTTGTAATATACTAATTTATATAAATAAATATCACCTCAATAAACCATTCTTAATTTAATTAAGTTGTTGTACATATCCCATATTCTATTGACATGTATATAGACTTTTTATTTTGTTATATCTGTTGTATTGTTGGAGGAGCTCAGGTCAGAAGAATGTCATTGCCGTTTCTACACAGTAGCTTTGTGCATATGACAATAAAACCTTTGAATATTGAATTGAAGAAATAACCACAGAGAGACTTGGAGTTTTGTCAAAACATTTCAGTCTTTATTTTGTTAATCTACTTGTCCTCGGGCTTGTTGAAGCAGTAGGTCAGGCAGCACTTTCCGCAGTAGTGGCGGTCGAAGTGGCTGGCCATGAAGACGCCGGCACCGCACTCGTCTGCGGGACACTCGCGCCTCAGACGGTGGATCTTACCGTTCTCGTCCACCTGGAAGAAGAGAGAGGAAGAGGATTTAAAACGTAAGTATTTTATCACTGCTTCTTCACTTGATCAAAACGTAACAATTCTTCTTTAAGAGAAATAAATCGACATAATCTATAAATCTTGTTGAAGCTAATTCTTGTCAAATTGTGAAAGTTTGCATACAACTAGGATAACAGCATGAGCTTTGAAATGTTACTATAACAGGGTTTCTGCAGTAACTTTAAGTGCTTATTTGTCAGTAATTTAAGCTAAGAGGATTTAAAATCTTGATCAAATGAAATGTCCTCTTGTGGAGAAGAAAAACAACCCTTTGCTTTTGTGATTTGTTTTGTTTCCATTCAACTCATAAAATCGTGTTTAAGTACATTTATTTCGTGCTGAAATGGTTTGGTCAATTTCTAACATTTTATTATAACCAGGTTTTCTGCAGTAACGTAAACATTTTTGAACTGTCGCTAATACAGCGCCCCCTGCTGGACAACCTCTGAAACTGCATCTCACAAACCAGGTGGGAAATTAACTTATAAACATGGAAAATATTATAAAGTAACCTACTGATTTCTTTAATTCCCTTACTGTAATGTTTAAAATAACTATTATTTTGTGCTGAAATGGTTTGGTTTATTTCTAACATTTTATTATAACCAGGTTTTCTGCAGTAAGCATTTTTGAACGGTCGGTAATATAACCTTAACATGTATGCCTTGATGTTTAATTAATTGTAAATAATCAGAAAGGCCGTCTGAAATTATTTAGCTCTGCTGAAGAACATGAGTCACAATTGAAACAATAAAGGTCCTCCTAATAGTATCTTAAAGATTTAAATGTACTTATTAAACCCTGCAAAAAAATATCTCTAGCTGCATTAGACACAGAACTAAGGCACCTTGTCTAAAACAGGGGGAAACGGCTAGCATGGAAGCAAAACATCTTCAAATATTTTATCTGGTTTATCGGGATGTAGACACAGAAATCTCAGCAGCAGAACGACATATGTGTATGTGTGTGTGAGAGAGAGAGATAGTGTGTGTGTGTGAGAGAGAGATAGTGTGTGTATGTGAATGAAGCTTACAGTTCATATTTAAGAGCAGTAACTTTAGTGTTTTCTCTGTAACAAATATGCAAGGAAACTCCCCGTATAGAAATAATCCCTAATATGTAAAGCTGTAATGTTTTTGTTGTTGTTTGTGTTGTTTTGTTCAGCATCTGGTTCGGTGCCTTTGTATACAGTCTGTCCAATGTAACGATTTTTAAGTAAATAACCTTATTTTAGTACACAACATTATTCCTGTTTGTGTTGTTTTTACTCTGAGGCTCATTTTCTACCAGGACAACAACAAGGAGGAACAGTCGCCAAGAATGCATTTCAAGAAGTGCGAAACGTAACAAAACGTGTTCTTGGTAATAGAAAAACCTAATTTGAAAGGAAAACTACAATATTTGTAATCGTTACGTAGCTTAAAATCGTGATATCAAGACATTTTATGTAATTAAAAGTATTCTTCACTTCTGCTGAGAAAGGAGACAAGTTGGTAAAAATTGAATTAAAAGACACAATCGTCACTTTTCAAACGCCATTTTGTGATAAAAATGTTTAGATTTATAAAAACATTTAAACAAAATTATTTGATTGGATGTTTAAATCTTAAATTGCAAGTGTAATATTAGTCAAAACAAGCTTGGTTTTAATACCTTTAACCGTCCCCGTTCAAAGTGACCACCTAGTGTACTGTGAGCAGACGAGGCTCCTGGATGTTAGAGTTCTTACCTTGTAGTACTTGAGCACAGCGAGCTTGACCTTCTTCCTCTTGTGCTTGTTCTTCTTGGGGGTGGTGTAAGACTTCTTCTTCCTTTTCTTAGCACCTCCACGCAGCCTCAGCACCAAGTGAAGGGTGGACTCCTGAAGACAAGGAACAAAATCAGATGTTGGTCCTCATCTTGGTAATTAGAAGAGATGAAACCCTTTTTAATGGTCTCACATGCAGAGCACACAGCACACACAGTGACATGTGTTCTCTTCATTTAACCCATCCTAGTACCAAGAGTCTAGTACTAGGAGCAGTGGGCAGCTATTGTACAATGCCCGGGGAGCAATGGGAGTGAGGGGGGGAAGGGGGGGTGTCTGGTGCATTGCTCAAGGGCAACACGGCAGGGCCCAGGAGGTGAACTGGGACCTCTCCAAGTAGCAGTCCACACTCCATATTTAGGTCTGGTCGGGGACTTGAACCGGTGACCCTACGGCTCACAGTCCAAGCCCCTACTGACTGAGCCACTGCCTATGATTAAGAAGATTCAAACAACTGTATTCATGTTAGTGTATAAAAAAAGTTAACTTGAAAAAAGACTGGAAATCAGACTTTCTGGGAGTTAAAAAAAATGATCAATGAAACAAATGTTGGGTCCATTTGAGCATCATCTTAACCCCACTTGACTGATCTTGTATTTATATACCGATCAGGTCTTTCCTCTCCATTTTGTTAAAGTAGGTCTTCTTATTGTTGGGTTGCTTTTAATAATCATGTGTGGATGACACATCAATTACAGATTCAGTTAATAGTGACTTTTTATGTGTATCCCCTCCTGACGGTGGGAGTGTGTTCAAGCTGTGTTTTGAGGGGTTAAATGTAATAAAACAAACACAAAAAGTAGAAGGATTTTTCTTCCTCAGCTCACCTTCTGGATGTTGTAATCCGACAAGGTACGTCCATCTTCCAGCTGCTTACCGGCGAAGATCAATCTCTGCTGGTCTGGGGGGATCCCTGGAGAATAAAAGGAGACGGTATCAACACCAACACTGGGGCAGGAGGGTTATACATTACATGTCACTTGTTAGACGCTTTTATCCAAAGCGACTTCCATACTCAATACTGTGGACAATCCCCACAAGAGCAATTTGGGGTGAAGTGTCTTGCCCAGGGACACAACGACATGCTGACTGCAGTGGGGTTTGAACCTGTGCTCCCCTGATCCGAACACCAACGCACTAACCACTGCGCCACACGCCTCCTTATAACTTTAAAAACACTAAAGCTACAGGATAATCGGCTAATTCACATATTGGTTATAAGAGTCGAGCTGAACTTCAAAATCGTATTACATGTTCCTCTATTAGTTATGGCAGTGATTATTAGCCTCAACCATCTTAAGGTTTTACAATTTCACTTGTAAAATATAGATAGTTGAGGCTTTATGAAATCTAACCAAGATATTGTCATTTGTTAAAATGTCAAGTCAAGTTTACTTTGATACTACCAATACAGAGATAGTGAGGAAATATGACATTGAAGCAGGGAAAACTGCATGTTTGAGATATAAAACATTTAAAAATCCTGACATTGAGAACATGTCACTAAGCTCATGATTGTGCATTGCACTTTTGCTAGTTCCTGCATAACAGTTTATCATTTAACATATTCAATTCCTGGATAAAAACACTTTTATATTACCCCCTTATGTTTATTGTTAAGCACCAAAATGCATTCCTTCCATGTGCAAACCTTGTCAGACAATTAAACCTGAACTATATAAAACAAACCAGTCTAAAGCTACTCACCCTCTTTGTCTTGGATTTTGGCCTTGACATTTTCGATAGTATCTGAAGGTTCAACCTGTGAAAAAGTAGAGAACACCGGTCAGCCATGATGACACCTTCTTCCGGTCAACGAGACCATCACATATTGGGTTAAAACACTCAAAATGTATCAGTAGGCATTAATAATGTAGTTTATTTTGAAAGAAATGTTACACTTTATTTTGAAAGGGCAATTCCAGCCTGCTTCACTCACACGTGTTTACGGTGTAACTGTTAGCTTAGCCACTTAGCTTCAATCATGAGCTACGACAGTATCGACTGTTATTGGGTTTAAAACCACACCCAATGAACTTAGTAGCCAACCTGAGTACTTAAAGGTTCAATTAAATGTTGAATTATCCGCCTAATTTGACTTAAACATGGTAAAACTTGGGAGACAGAAAACGCCGCATTTTCTCCGTGCACTCACCTCGAGGGTTATGGTCTTACCCGTGAGGGTTTTGACGAAAATCTGCATCCTGGCGTTATACCCAGCTGTACGGGAAAACACACAAGACTTTAAATATTTCGTAGGAGCTAAAATGTGCTTCTTAAAAGTGTTATTTTGTGATAATAATTAGGTTTTGACTGAGAGCTGATCTTACCAGAGGCTCACTCCTAATGGCGGATCATGAGAAGAGGTCTTCCAGGGCAGGCGACGGGGTTTTCAGCCCGCATTTCCACGGGTTGGGAACACCCGTTGACAGTGCCTGATCAAAAATATCGATACGTGTTCGTATTTTTAGTCAGATTAATCAGTGATAACATTGAAATAATTGCTCTATCACAACGCGTATGTATCTGTATTATTACGTAAAAATGAATACAATCTGAAAGCAAAAATTGAAATAAAAAAATTAAAACTTCATTTCCCAGGTGCACTTTCGCGATAACCATGGCAACGTGGTCGAAAAGTAAGATGGCAGACAGAAAGTTAGCCACCACATTCTTGCCCACAAATATCTAAAATTATTAGATATAAGATATAAGATTCGTCCGTTTACCAATTTACTATCGCAAAAGAGTCTTTTTTATTTTGTTGTGATTCGTCTTATTGTCCCTTTTATGTCTATTTCGGCATATATTTAAATAATAAAACGACTAAATATTTTATTTTTCACATAAACACAATTTCCCAGGTAAACTTTCGCGGTATCCATAGCAATGCCTCAAAGCAGCAAGGTGGAATATGGAGATGGAAAGTTAGCGAAAGCAAATATACATTAAAACATGTAATTTTTAAGGTCGTTTAACGTTTTATTTCTGTCACATTTACATCTCCATATTAAATTGTTATTCGTCTTAAAAGAGAACGATGAAATCTCTTTGAAAACACACTTTCCCAGGTACACTTTCGCGGTAACCATAGCTACAAAGGGAAATAAATCCTCAGTTGTAAACAACAGAACAATGTCTGAGACTCAAAGCTACAGCAGGTCTTCTTCAAGAACAGACGAAAGAAGTTCAACTCCGGACATATTGATTTCTGAGTGTGATGAACGTTTTTTTAGGTCTCTGGAGGAGTTTATAGAGCGGGAGAAACTGTATCTACAGTGCCAACAACAGGGACCTGATGAACTGCGGTACATCGTCTACCGCCATGTGTTTAATAAGGTAATGGCAGAGAGAAGTACTCAGATTTTGTACTTGGGTAAAACTAACAGAGTGTACTGTGTTACAAGTATAAGTCCTGCATTCAAAAGGTTACTCAAGTAAAAGTACATAAGTATTAGCATAACAAAATACTTAAAATAGTAAAAGTAGTCATTCTGCAGTTTGGTCCATTTCAAAATAATATATATGATATGTTGTGATTTTAATTATTGATCATTAAAGTGTTATCAAAGCTGGTAAAGGTGCAGCTAGTTTTAATGACTTTGTATACTACAGGGTAGCTTGTGAATTTACTCCAGGTGTAACTAAAGTCTGATTTAAGTGTTAATCATTTACCAGCTGCAACATTAGAGTATTGCACACATAATTCATCAACATTTATAATACAATAATATATATGATTCTGCATAGTCTGTACATTTACTTTTGGTGCTTTAAGTATATATTTAGATGCTGAGTATTTTCTACACTATAGTATTGCCACTTGCTGATAAGTGACTGATGTCCTCTTGTTTCTGACAGGTGATTGGACGAGCGACGACTTATAAGAGGCTCCTGTTGACCATAAAGTCAGAGTACGACAATGTGGTCCGGGCTCTGCAGAAAAGGGAGGATGAGTTCAGGGCGGCTAAACAGAGGATGGCGGCCTCAATGTCACATCCAATATCACTGATGACCTGCCAGAGACGAGCCGCCCACCTGAGGGAGAGGTGGGTGCTGCTTTTGGTCCACTTCTTACACTTCTAAAGGCCTGTGAGGGTTCAACCTTTAGATAACAGCCCTGAAAAGTTTCTAACTACAAGTGCTGATAAATGGTTTTAGTTATTTGAACTGAGTAGTTTCCAACGGTGGATGATCAACTTGAGAAACACCTTAAATGAAGCAAATATCATGCTTAAAGGTGGGGTAGGTAATTCACTTCAGAAACCTTTTGTTATATTCCATGGAATGCTCTTAACATCCCGATAGCAATGAATATATTAAATGCTTTGACAATAAATACATAAAAAAATGTCATCTGTGGAAGCCGTGGCGCTGTAAAAAGCACGACCAATCATCTGAGCCGGCCCGGCTAAAATAACTGGATGGCCTACCTGCCTGTCAGCCTTCCATCTTGTGCACAAACTTATCTCATGCCCTCATTGGTCATGTGCGCGTTCGTGTGTGTTGGAGGAGGGGCTCTGTAAGGAAGTCTGAAGGAAGGGGCAGATTTTTTTTCGGCTGCGTACTTTCAAATTCTAGCGCACTCGAGCTGGTTTCTCCATTCTTACCTACCCTACCTTTAACTATTTAAAACAATCCCTGATATAATGGCAATGTTTGACAATTAAATGTGCATGAAGGATTGTCATGTAGCTGCTCTCTGAATGCTTTTGGCTCTTTCCAGAATCGATGTCATTCAGAGGGAAACAGCAGAACTTCAAGATGAGATGGAGAGACACAAATCCTCTGAAAGGCAGAGCACATGGATACCTGGTACTACTGAAACTGATGATTGCAGTTGAAAATCAAGACTGCTAAATGCAAACGCAGTCTCAGTCTGTTGCAGGAGATGTTGTAGGCCCATTAGCGTGAGTTGATACAATAAACCCCACATATGTCTCATGTCCCAGGTTTGACGTTAGCTGACTCCGAGGATCCTGAGGCTCTGGATGGACACCTGAAGCATCTGGAAGCCCAGAGAACTTCTCTCCTGGAGAGGAAGGGTGATGGTGTCTCTCTGGAGGTCAAAGCCCAGCTGGACACTGAGCTGCAGGCTGCAGAGCTCCACAGAGACCAGCTGAGCAGCAAAAACTACCTACTGAAGTCCAGGTAAAGAACTGTCAAGGGGTCCATATTTACACATAGCTTCATAAGATTACATTTGCCACATTTACAACTGTAACACATTCATTTTGTGTCTGTTTGTGTCACGTTGTGTCTCTCTGTACTTATTTGTCTCTTTGTAGCTGTTCTGTCTTTCTTTGTGGTCATTTTATCTCCGTTTTTTTAGTCATTTTGTGTCTGTCCGTAGTTATTTGCAGCATGGACTTAAAGCACGAGAATACATTATTTTGTTTAATATAAATCAACATACACAGCCGTCACACATTCACTCTACCAACGGAGACTTGTGTCGTTGATTTTCTCCAAATGAGTGACTATGTTTCTGTATTTTCTGTCTGTGTGCAGGTACAAGAGTCTGAGGTTAGTGTCCGACCGTCTGTCCAGCTGGGAGTTTGAGAAGCAGCAGGTTTCTCTGGAGGAACTTCTGGATTCCACACTGGAGGATGTCAGACAGACCAGCGGTGAGACACAAAAACACTTGTTTAGAGGATTTTAAAACCATCAGTAGGGTACACATTTGTAGATTTACTGAGGTTTTCAAGCATATAAAATGAAAATGTTTTACTCTTTGCTTCTTCAGGTAACAACTCATGATGTTTCAGTGTTATTTTATGTCTTATTAAATCACATTTCCGTCTGTTTTTACTGCTCCAAAAAGGTATTTCTGCAACAATTAACCTTGTTTCTCAAACCCTGTGTTGATATTTCAGAATGCTATAATCTTGTGTCCCTTCTTGGCCATCACTAAAAATAAAAATGTCTCATATTATTTATCATTTTAACACCTTAAACCTGCAGTGACGGACGATGATGGCTGCGGCATGAACGCTGAACTGTTTGAGCACGAAGAGCCGACCGGTGTTGACGAGTCCCTTCTCCTGGCAGATTGCCTGGACAGGTGCTGCCTTCACAGACCCATCCTGACCAGTTTATCTGAACTCCTCAGACTCTCTCTCTGAATCACCTTTCTCTCTCCGACAGGTTTCTTGAGCTCTTTGATTCGGCTCGGTATGAGGAAGCGGCTCTCCTTGCTGCCAGATCTCCCCGAGGAGTCCTGAGGAACCAGGACACCATGGAGATGTTTAAAGGTGGGAACCACACACATCTATGTACAGTAAGAGGTAAGGTGCATACCTGCAGATTTCTATTGCAGGGGTCCTCCCCAATAAAACATGTGTGTTGCAGAGGACTTTTATTGTGAAGTTCCACTGCAACAAGACACGCATGCAAAGTAAAGTAAGTGGCAGAAGTCAATGATTACAGTTGAATCTCAGAGACGTGTTAGACGTTGGAGAAAGATCAAGGCGCACTAAGTGTCAGTTTCCTGTCAACCTTCAAATTATAATGCATTTATTCTCAGCTAGTCAGAAACACAAACATGTGGGATATATTTGTATATATATTATTGTCCTTCTAAGCTTTATTATTCTGACTTTTTGGTCGACTACGGTGCTCTCAGAGCCACGCATGCATTTCAAAAACGTTTCTTCTGAATACGACCTTTGTTACTTGGCGTATAATCTGTTCCCTTTCAAATACAACCTACCAGTAAAGCTCCACCCCTGATATTACATAATCTTGAGAGGAAGCAGGAAACTAGTTTGTTACTGTTTAACTCTCAGTGAGAAAAGACGTACAGACAGAGAGACAGACAGACTGACAGTAGAACGGTAACATTTGCCTTCATTACAAAGGGAGGACGTTTACAGCAAGGATTTTTAAGCTTTAAAATACTTTTTTTTTTAAACTAAAAGTGGAAGTAACTGCAGCAGGGAGGGAAGCACAGGCAAGTCCTGTTTAATTGGCTGTGTTCAGCTTCACTCTGAGAGAATGGCTTCAAGATCAGAGGAGGATCTCTGCTGTTCGGTAGTGATGTTACGTATTGCGCCGAGGCTTCGGAGCGTGTGTAGAGTAATCCCCGAAGCTTTTTGTGAAGCTTGTATTGAGGCTTGTATCGTTTTGGGCCAGTGACGTCACCGATGACAAACGAAGCCTCGCTGCCCCTCGATACCACGTGACTGCTTCAGAAAGTGCTTCAGATCGGTTGAACCACAACGCTCATAATACCCATGGATGTATAATAAGAACCATATTACCCCTCCTGTACCCGGGCCCGGTGACACGATGGAATTAAGAGAGCTCAGACCCTCACTTATATAGAGGTCGGAACATGTCATAAGTATAAATAAATACAAGCATAAATAAAAGTAGGAATAAAAACATCAATACATAAATAAATGAATAAATACAGGAATAAGTACTATAAAGTGTTTTCAGTCAGATTCAGTGTGTGTGCTGTGGCTCAGCTGGAAAGCAGTTGACTCTCAACAGCAGGGTCCCTGGTTCAACGACTGGTCAATACGTCTTTTTGGTTTGTTTATAAAAGATACAGCTAAATAACATAATGTAGTTAATAAATGTAGTCTTTGATATGGTTTAGCCTTTCTCAGGCTACAACATGGTTAAGTTTACGAATATTATTAAGGAATACAAATCCCTCTTTGCAATGTTTACCAGCCTCCTTAGGCTTTTCAATCACAATCATTCAACTGGAATAAAAACAATATTGTTAACATGAAAATATGATTTTATGGATTTGGTAAGTATTATAAATAGGATTTAATGAGCAACAATAAAGGTGCACAACAAAATGAGAGCAAAGGTAAGCTAAGCTAAACAATGAAGCCAAAAGGGCGCAGTTCTACTGCTGGTAACAGAAGGAGGACTCTTGAAAATGAGCCTAATTAACACACCTGAGATCTCTTCCAATTAACTCTATTGGAAGGAGGCTGCAGGAAAACGCAGCTAACTAGATAAACTAAACACACGCTACTCCAAACACATAAATCAACACGCTACTCCAAACACATAAATCAACACGCTACTCCAAACACATAAATCAACACGCTACTCTAAGCACACATATAAACACGCTAAACACGGATCACAATAGTCAAACACAGTCTGTAGCTCAAGACTGAAGTGTCCACGACACAGGAGCAAAAGGTAGTGATGGCAGTTTGACACTGAAGCTTCGAACGGAGCTTCAACCCTGGACTTCCTATTCCATAGAAGCAGTGATTCGAAGCTTGCTTCAAATCACGTGACATGTGACGTCCGAACCAGTAACTGCTTCATTTCTTGAATGAATCAACTCACTGGTTCGCCGTCCAATCAGGTGATTCAATGCACTGCCTCGTCTCTATTCTGACAGGTGACAGGTTGAAACAGTTTCGAATTTGAGCGCTTCAACACTTTATAACCGCTCTAAACAATGAGCAATGTGTGGGTTGTTGTCGTAGTTTGCATTGTTGCTGTTGAGTTGTTGTTGGTATTGCATTTGAATTGGATCATTATAGAGCAAGCCAGGAAGAAAGACAGGTCGTTCTGGCTCGGGAAACACTTCGAAATGTGGAGAACTTGTGAACAAAAAGACAATTATGACTAATATAAAAACAGTTTAATAGCTTAAGGTATAGATAGCCCAGTGGATAGAGCCGGTGGCCCTAATGCGGCGATGTCGTCCGCGCAGCTGGTTCAAAGCCCAGAATGGGTGAACTTTTAATCATTACTTTTCAACTTTAATACTTTAATAACTGATAAAAAGCCCTCTCCGCCCAAACATTTTTCCAGCACTCTCTAGTCTCTTCTCAATAACCCAATACACACAATTATCAATCTTTAATTGCAAATAGAACATGATATTCAGTGTGTGTGTGTGTGTGTGTATCGAATATTTTTCAAGGCAAAGATACGTTAAACCCACTGCAGCCTTGCACTTCGCCAGGAGAGGTCGCTGTAACTGAAGCTTCGAGAAATGAACCTATTTCCGACACAATTGTCCAAGTGGTTCGATGCTTCATTCAAAGCTTCATTTTGCCATCACTAGCAAAAGGTATGAGGCGTCTGATCGCAGCAGAGCCTCACGAGTGATAATTGTCCCCAGTCTTTGTAGTCATCTCCATCTGGTGTGTTAATTAGGATTGCACGGGGATTGGAGAGCGTCGGGCCCGGCGTGCTCCAATCAGCGTCTTCGGAGGAGGCCCAGGAGATGACAGCTAACGACATTGGGGCAACCACACAGCTCATTTACATATTACACACAGCTGCAAACAATCTCAGACAGGTTAACGAGCAGACAGAAACAGCAGCCGTAACAGTTGTTTAGAGTTATTCTAAGGCTTTACTCATTGGGAACTCGGTATGAGATAGAGCACACTGTTGAGATGTCAAATCTGCCTGTTTTACACACTTTGACCAACTTTGTGTTCAAATGAAGCCTCATGAGATGAACCCTTTTACGAACCAATTGGCTGGAAAGCTTCATAAGGCTTCATCTCGCCATCACTACTGTTTCGGTCTGTCAGGACATCTTTAGAGATCCTGTTCTCCTGTCATGCAGCCACAGCTTCTGTAAAGGCTGTCTGAAGGACTGGTGGAGAGAGAAAATAACACGTGAGTGCCCACTATGCAAGAGAAGGTCATCTGTAAACCTCCCTGTAACCTGGTGTTAAAGAACCTCGAGAGGCCTTTCAAAGGGAGAGAGATGAGAATCAGAATACCTTTATTAGTCCCACGGAGGGGAGATGTGCGTGGTTACAGCAGGAACAAGAGCCACAGACAGCTTAATGTTACATATGTTAAATATGTGACATGCATTTAAAAAAAGTACTAAGTTATGATATGATAACAAATATATAATAAAAAAATGTAAGTTACATAATTTAAAAAAAATACACATCCTGTAACAGTTCTTAGGATTTAGCAGCCAGGTATATATTACACAGTTATTAACGGCATTTATATATTGCACATATTGCACATAGTTTGTTGGTATTTAGCAGCAAGGGGTGATATAGTTTGTGTTGTGGTGTGTGTGTGTGTGTGTGTGTGTGTGGGGGGGGGGGGTGGTCAACTAGGGGCTGTGCTGGTTGTATTGTCTGACCGCTGCAGGAAGGAAAGCTTCAGAGGCTCTCTGCAATCTGCACTCTGAGAAACTCAAACTCTTTTGTCTGGAGTCTGGACCATAGGCAGCCGGTGTGTGTCGTCTGCAGAGATTCAGAATTAACCACAGCTTCAGACCCATCGATGAAGCTGCGCGACAACACAGGATGGAACTTCAGAAAACTCTGAAACCCTTTAGGAAGAAGTTAGATGCTTTAGAAAAGGCTAAAGAGGAGTTTGATGGAACAGCAGAACACCTGAAGGTCCAGGCCTGACGCACAGAGACGCAGATTAAGGAGCAATTTCAGAAGCTTCACCAGTTTCTAGAAGAGGAAGAGGAGGCCAGGATGGCTGCACTGAGGGAGGAAGAGGAGCAGAAGAGTCGGGTGATAGAGGGGAAGATGGAGGCTGTGAGCAGAGCGATAGCAGCTCTTTCACACACACTCAGGGCCACAGAGAAAGAGATGAGAGCTGACCACGCCTCCTTCCTGAACAACTACCAGGCTGCAGTGGAGAGGCTGCAGCGCCCCCTGCTGGAGGGTCCACAGCTGCCCCCAGGAGCTCTGATAGACGAGGCCAAACTAGGGCTGAACGATTAATCGATTTTAAATCGAAATCGCGATTTTAAATGATGCAATTATCAAATCGCAAAGCCTGCGATTTCTTTATTTATTTTTATTTTTATTTATTTTTTAAGTTTTTTTTTTTGTTCTTCTTGTGTGTCAGTCATCCACACCAATCAGAAGTGCTGTGCTCCACATGTACCAGTCATTGTTAACCAATCAGAAGTGGCCCATGATAGTAGGTGATAGACAGATTGATCTGCCATTGATCTACCTGCCAACCCCCGTCTGTCTCCCAGGTGTGAAGGGGCCCCCGGGGTCCCCCCCCCCTCTCCTCCTCTTCCTCCAGGCCCTCCTGATGACGAGCCCGCCCGGCCAATGGCTGCCGGCTGCTCTCTCCCTGCAGCTCGTCCTCTGCGCCCTGCAGCACGGCAACACGCAGCTCGTCACCCACAGCATCAACAACAACAGGTACAATACAACTTTATTTATAAAGCACTTTTAAACCCACCAGACCAAAGTACTGTACACTCAAATAAAAAATCACACAGCACAGCTCACACACACCATAAAACAAGTACAAGTAAAAAACTAAACCATTTTAATGTAATAAATGTAACAATCTAAAAGATGTCAATACGCTAAGGAGAAGAGGTGGGTTTTAAGAAGCGATTTAAAAGCAGGCAGTGTGGCGGCCGGTCTGATGTGCAGGGGCAGATTGTTCCACAGTGTGGGAGCCGCCACAGAGAAGCAACGGCCCCCTCTGAGCTTAGACCTGGTTCTGGGCACATTCAGGAGCAGTTGATCAGCTGACCTGAGAGGGTGGTTGGGCGTGTAAGGGTGTAGCAGCTCAGAAAGATATGGTGGGGTCATGCCATTTAAAGGTGGGGTAGGTCATTCACTTCAGAAACACGTTTTGTTATATTCCATGGAATGCTCTTAACATCCCGATAGCAATGAATATATTAAATGCTTTGACAATAAATACATAAAAAAATGTCATCTGTGGAAGCCGTGGCGCTGTAAAAAGCACGACCAATCATCTGAGCCGGCCCGGCTAAAATAACTGGATGGCCTACCTGCCTGTCAGCCTTCCATCTCGTGCACAAACTTATCTCGTATACGAACGCCCTCCTTGGTCATGTGTGCGTTCGTGTGTGTTGGAGGAGGGGCTCTGTAAGGAAGTCTGAAGGAAGAGGCAGATTTTTTCCGGTTGTGTACTTTCAAATTCTAGCGCACTCGAGCTGGTTTCTCCATTCTTATAACTACCCTACCTTTAAGGGATTTAAAAGTAAATAAAAGGATTTAAAAATGAATCCTAAAATGTATTGGCAGCCAATGGAGCGAAGCCAAAATGGTAAACACAAATAATAAAATGTTTCCATGATCTCTGCTGCTGCTCGGCTCGTCACGCTCCTCATCATCGCAGACTGACTTTCTCTGAGGATCTGGGCGACGTCCTGACTGAGCACGCTAAGAAGAACCCGGGCGTGGCCAATGTTTGTCTGGCGTTGGCGACTTATGTCTACACCGCCTGCAGACTGCACAGGAAGACCGCGCTGAGCATGTGCAGCAGAGGCCTGATCCACAGCGCCGCAGACTTCATGAACCACTGCAAGGACCTCACAGCAGGTCGGTGTGAAAGAAAACAATAGTAAAAGCTGTAGTTTGGTGTGGTGGTGAAGCAGCATTGGATCCTGGGAGATGTAGTCTTCAGCTTCTCCTGGTTTGGATTACTTCAGTGTTCATGGTTCAGGAGGTTTTACATTTGACTTAAACAGTGAATAACGTGGTATTATGTTAAAAGTCAGTGTATCTCCCTGCGTGCTGTTCGGATTCCGATGACGTTTGCGCAACTTGTTTCTCTAATAACTTAATATCCAGATGTCAAATTGACAAATAATCCTTCATCAGTTAAAATAAAGAGTTAAAAAGCACCAAGACCTAAAATGTTTACGGTAAAAATGTGTCTTGAAACGATATAAAAAGTCAATTTATGATATCTTCTTACAATGCTGACAAATGCACAAAGTGAATCTCTGTTATAGTAGTTGTTATTGAATCTGAATCTCTCCCTCTCTTTCTCAGAGGACTGTTTGTGGGTTCTGAATCTCTCGCCCAGCCTCGTCCTCCTCCAGCTGTTGACGGCGCCTCAGCAGGGTCGGGCGGCCATCTTGTCGCTGGGCGTGTCCTGTTCCTCTCTGCTTGACGACCCTCAGCGGCAGCAGCTCGCTCTGCAGCTCCTGGACAGCTGTGTCAGCAGAGGACAAGGTGAACTAAAACCACTCTGAAAGCTGCTTCTGTTCTGTTCCATGTCAGCTACGTGATGCCACTGGGCCCAAAAATACAGTTTCCTATCTTTTACCCTCAGATCAGAGTTTATTTTATTTGAGATCTTCTGAAAACAACACTTGAATAGCCCTTGTGGTAAGCATTCGGTGCTTAAGGTTGAAAAACGTGCTAACAGCTGAATCCAAAGAGTTATCTTCCCTCCTCCGTTCATTTGACTGAGCCGAGCCCAACTGAGTTTAACCAGAACTGTTAGTGAGCATGCTCTATGGGCCAATCGCGGCAAGGCATGTTGGCTTCATGCGCCACTCAGGAATGTACCGGGCCCTGCCTGTAACACTGTCTGCAGTTCTGTTTATACATCCATGGTTTGTACACATTGGTCATTTCCAGTGGTCCATTGCACCTGTCCGTCACCAGAGTCAGCTGACCGCTACGTCCTGCCACAGGTACCTGTCTGTCTCTGACCTGTCTGTCTGTCACCTGTCTGTCTCTCACCTGTCTGTCTCTCACCTGTCCGTCACCAGAGTCAGCTGACCGCTACGTCCTGCCACAGTCTGTCTCTCACCTGTCTGTCTGTCCCCTGTCTGTCTCTCACCTATCCGTCTCTCACCTATCTGTCTGTCACCTGTCTGTCTCTCAGGACTGGTGGCGTGTCCTCCTGGTTGTTGTCTCTCACCTGTCCGTCTCTCACCTGTCTCACTCTCTACCTGTCTGTCTCTCAGGACTAGTGGCGTGTCCTCCTGGTTGTTGTCTCTCACCTGTCTGTCTCTACCTGTCTGTCTGTCACCTGTCTGTCTCTCACCTGTCTGTCTCTCACCTGTCCGTCACCAGAGTCAGCTGACCGCTACGTCCTGCCACAGTCTGTCTGTCACCTGTCTGTCTGTCACCTATCTGTCTCTCACCTGTCTGTCTGTCACCTGTCTGTCTCTCACCTGTCTGTCTCTCACCTATCCGTCTCTCACCTATCTGTCTCTCACCTGTCTGTCTATCACCTGTCTGTCTCTCACCTATCTGTCTCTCACCTGTCTGTCTATCACCTGTCTGTCTGTCACCTGTCTGTCTCTCACCTGTCTGTCTGTCACCTGTCTGTCTCTCACCTGTCTGTCTGTCACCTGTCTGTCTCTCACCTGTCTGTCTCTCACCTGTCTGTCTCTCACCTGTCCGTCTCTCACCTGTCTCACTCTCTACCTGTCTGTCTCTCAGGACTGGTGGCGTGTCCTCCTGGTTGCTGTCTCTCACCTGTCTGTCTCTACCTGTCTGTCTGTCACCTGTCTGTCTGTCACCTGTCTGTCTCTCACCGGTCCGTCCCTCACCTGTCTTCCTCTTTACCTGTCTGTCTCTCAGGACTGGTGGCATGTCCTCCTGGTTGTTGTCTCTCACCTGTCCGTCCCTCACCTGTCTCCCTCTCTACCTGTCTGTCTCTCAGGACTGGTGGCGTGTCCTCCTGGTTGTTGTCTCTCACCTTGCCTTGCCTTTTGGATCCACTGTATAAAGAAGACCTCTCCTTCTGATATTTCCTTTGAACACATCAACCTGTCTGTCTCTCACCTGTCTGTCTGTCACCTCTCTGTGTCTCCGTCCTCTCAGGAGCTCTGGAGGAGGCCATGCTGCAGGACGGCGGCTCTTCGATGGACGTCTGGGAAGATGTGGCGTCTCGGTGCTCCGAGCTGAACCGGGCCGACCTGAGCCGGGCCGTGCTGTCCGTCCTGCTGGAGCAGAGCGGGACCAGAGTCCTGTCCCCGGACCTGGAGGGGGGCCGGCTCATGGAGCATGTCTTTCTGTGATAGGTAGAACAATCACAGCTGAAGGAAGCAATAAACAACAGCTGGTAACAACCTGGGTCTCCTTCTTCTGTCTGTCGCAGACAAACACACTGTTGTGTGACAGCTCAACTAGCTCAATTTCATTCAATATGCTTTATTGGCATGAATGTCTCAGGATAATGCCAAACCATCAAGTAATAATGAGTGATACAAAAAACATCAATAACATCATAAAATCAAGACAACAACAGAAGTGTGTGATGATGTAGTCTGTGTGTTTAACACCTGTAATCCACAGAAATATGTGTGTGTGTGTGTGTGTGTGTGTGTGTGTGTGTGTGTGTGTGTGTGTGTGTGTGTGGTGTGTGTGTGTGTGTGTGTGTGTGTGTGTGGTGTGTGTGTGTGTGTGTGTGGTGTGTGTGTGTGTGTGTGGTGTGTGTGTGTGTGTGTGTGTGTGTGTGTGTGTGTGTGTGTGTGTGTGTGTGGTGTGTGTGTGTGTGTGTGTGTGTGTGTGTGTGTGTGTGTGTGTGTGTGTGTGTGTGTGTGTGTGTGTGTGTGTGTGTGTGTGTGTGTGTGTGTCGCACTGTGAGTATCAGTAGTTCTTGGAGAAAGGAATTATTTAAAACCATTGTTGCCATCATTAGACATTTTCTTTTCGATATTATTATTGTCTTTATAATAAAAATACTAAGACAAAATACTACTTGTCATCATAAGAATTGAAGCCGCTCAGGAATCCAACTAATAAACACACACACACACACACACACACACACACACACACACACACACACACACTCTGCAGGTCAAACAGAGGACCCTTTGTGTCCGTTGTGAATGTAGCTCCACGATGAACAAACATCTCCCACTGGTCTGCAAACAAATCTCCCCTCTGTCCGTCTCCTCTTCTCTGCTCTCTGCTCGCCTGTTAACTTCAGCAAATGATTCTTTCATTCAGCTGTAAACTCACAGGAGCTCACAACACATAAAAGTGCCACTGTTGACCCAAGAGGAGTGTGTTTGACATGAATCAAGTGTGTGTCTGAGCATGTAAACACGCATTTCCCATTGGAATCCTGAACAGGTGCAGTTTTGTAAACCAGCAATGATGAGTATTTCAAAGTAAAAGCAAATTCCATCTGGTTAGTGCTAACTGCTTTTAACTAACCAGCCCCATGTAACCAAGCAATATTTATTGTGTTAAATAAATGCTCCACAGCGACAGTCTTCTTTCTAAAATGTTACATGAGGAAAAGCATTATCAGACAGTTTAAGATTAAGAGAGGAACAAAGAGAGAAAGAGATGCAAAGATTCAGCTGACTCACAACTGCTCCATCACGTATTGATCTCCTGCAGAGTGTGTGTATGTTTATGTGTGCGACGCTGGCTTTGCATGACACAGCTTCTTTTTATTTTTCAGATTCAGTCTTACCCTTTTCTTTGACTCCTGGGTATTAAAGGCTACTTTCACAAACATCCTCTTCACAGATAGGTGCATGGGTCAAAAGTTGCTCAGATTTCCTTAGAGGAACTTTTGTTCACCTCCTCGACGGGATTCACTATAAGCACACATTAACAATGATAAATTAACTATCGTGACACACACACACACACACACACACACCAACATTATGCCTCATCACTGCTCCAAAGTGTTTCCCATCAGCCAGCTCTGCACAATACCAAACCAACGGCAACACCTGTAATCCATGGAAATATCAACAGGTGTGTGTGTGTGTGTGTGTGTGTGTGTGTGTGTGTGTGTGTGTGTGTGTGTGTGTGTGTGTGTGTGTGTGTGTGTGTGTGTGTGTGTGTGTGTGTGTGTGTGTGTGTGTGTGTGTGTGTGTGTGTGTGTGTGTGTGTGTGTGTGTGTGTGTGTGTGTGTGTGTGTGTGTTGTAGAGAAAAGGAAAAATGCTGTGTAATCCCCCCCCCCTCCCTTTCTTTCTGTCCCCTAGTGGTATTTTTGTACTTCTATTTTAGTAGGGACCAATACGAGTGTCAGACCTTCAAAGTGAGGACATTTTGTCCTCATTCCTTCTCTTTGAGGTTAATAATTATGTTTAAAGTTTAACATTATAGTGAGGATGATTAGATGGTGTTGGTCTGGTTTTTTTCCTTCTGATTTCTGAGTGACAGTGAGCGGCCTTTTTTTAAATTGCAGCGCCAAGCTGGTCGATTAAGTGAGTCATTGGTGAATCATCCTCATGCATTAATCCCACATGAATAATAACCTAATTTTACGCATGACCCATGATGATAAACATACAGACATGTTAATATATCAACATTTTACAAATCCTGTCTTGACTTAATATCTTTTAGTTTTGTTCTGTCACCTTGCCAGCAGGAAGCGAAGCAATGTACTCCTGTGAAGGTATTTTAGACACCTAAAAAAACTCTGTCGGTTTAACTGTCCGCTATATTTAGAATATTTTCACTGCTGTGACTTCATGTCAGACTGCCCTTCCTATTTGTCTGCTCTGTTCAAAGACACCAGACTCCATTGAGAAAAACACTCATTTAACATTTTCCCATGGTGACTTAATGAATCAAGCATGTTTGGAAAACTTGACACATGAGCTGACCTAAAGCTAGCTTAAGTTGTGCTTTTGTAAGATATATTGGCAGTTCGCTAACGTTGGCTTCGCTAGCTATGTAAACTTATGCTAGATGACCTTTCATTACATCAAACTGTTTAGCATACAATCGTTTTTCTCAACACTCAAGTTTATCACAAATATATGTCATGAATGCATTCCTTGGGAAGAGGATAAGTAAACTACTGATATCCCTTAGGGGAATTCAACCACAAAAAGCACACTGGACACTGCACTAGGTCAGAAACCAGAGGAGACTGTGAAGCCCACCGCAGACGGACCACTTTTGGACAAAATGTACTCTCCATTAAAGGCAGCTCATTCTGGAATAGCCTCCCAACTGAGATACGGGATTGTCCCACACTCAATAGTTTTAAAGGTCAACTCAAAGAATGGTTGAGAAACGTTGTGGGCGGCTGTGGCTAAGTGGATAGAGTGCTGGACTTCGAAATCAGGGGGTAGCAAGTTCGAGTCCCACTGCAGTCAGCATGTCGTTGTGTCCCTGGGACACTTCACCCCAAATTGCTGCTGTGGGGATTGTCCACAGTATTGAGTATGTAAGTCGCTTTGGATAAAAGCGTCTAACAAATGACATGTAATGTAATGAAACAAACAGACGTGCAATCACTGCTAAATGCACTTTAATACAGGGGTATCTCCTCTTGCACTTTATCATCTCTTGTATCTCCTCTTGCACTTCATATATCATAGCTGCTATATTGTATTACCATGTCATAAATACTTGTGTATGCTGCTCTTGCTCTTTTTGCATATCATGTATTTATTTTTGCCATGTTTATAAATGTAATGTTCTTATATGTTGTATGTGAGGGACTGCGAATGGAAATTAGCTCAAAGCTAAAATCCAGCATATTTACACTTGAAGCATTATTTGTCTTAAAGGTGGGGTAGGTAAGTTTGAGAAACCGGCTCGAGATCGCTAGAATTTGAAAATACACAACTGGAGAAAATCTGCCACTTCCTTACAGAGCCCCTCCTCCAACACACACGAACGCGCACATGACCAATGAGGGCACGAGATAAGTTTGTGCACAGATGAAAGGCTGACAGGCAGGTAGGCCATCCAGTTATTTTAGCCGGGCCGGCTAAAATGATTGGTCGTGCTTTTTACAGCGCCACGGCTTCCACAGATGACATTTTTTTATGGATTTTTTGTCAAAGCACTTAAGATATTCATTGCTATCGGGATGTTAAGAGCATTCCATGGAATATAACAAAAAGTGTCTCTCGAGCCGGTTTCTCAAACTTACCTACCCCACCTTTAAGTGTTCATGAATGTGCATTGTCCCTGCTCAAATAAACGATTAAATGAAATGAAATTCGGTAAAATCTGATTGAGACACAGAGGACAATGATTACTTAAATGACTGAAATGTTATATTTAAAATACTTTCACTTACAAATGACAACATCTCTGGTCCAGTTGATGCTTAGAGCCTGCAAGGAAAAAATAAAGTTCATGGTGCAAATATCATCCGCTAAACTTGTCAGATTTTACAGGAAAAACCTATATTCAGATGTTTCCATTATTCTGACCCCCACATGTATGTCAATATAGAGTACATATACTTAGAAACACGGTAATGCCTGTTCAGCATTACTTACTTTACTTTAGAGTGTGTTTGTCTGCACTCACCTTTCTTTACACAGTTAGTTTCATGCACCTTTATTAGGTTGAAACTTTGGTAAGTTGCGATTGAGTCGCACGGGGAAAAGCCTCTGTGACACACTCAAAACTGCTCTGAAACTCATCCTAGAAAAAAGACACACGATAAATCTTTCCCAAAGTAAAGGAAAACAAGTATTTTATTGTTTGGGTAACATCATGTCTGCATTCCTTTTCTTGGCTGCGGATTCATCCACATGTGAGCTTGATTGAAAATAAAGTCAAGCGTGTTCATGGTACTATATTGGTGCAACATTGAGGCTCAGTGTTGAATATATCAGCAGACCCTCTGTCCCTCTCTCACATTATCATATGTTGAAGCAGCCATATTTGCTTACAGACATATATATTCACATGTTATATATAGACTCCCGCCTGTCATCAGTATGCTGTGTAACTATATCTCTTTCAAACTGGAGCCGAGCGTTTCTCACTCTCCACTTCTTCATGCTTCAACCACAAAATCATTTTTCCTAATCAACTTTTTGAGAATGAACTTTATGGAGAAAATGGGCAGCTAAGAATATTTTCTAGAGAGATGAGATAATTTGCAGAACAAAAAACATTTCAAAATAAAGTTAGAGGCAGGAATTCTGACATGTACTTACTAATTTTAACTATGACAACTTGTTGCAGAACCAATGTTAGTCACAAATGTATTAAATCCTTGTTTTCTTGTTTAAAAATGTTTTTAGCATTTATTTTATCTGTTAATCCTTTTTCTTATTATTAGAATTACACATGCATTATTCTCTGACTTATTTATTTCACATGCATTATTCTCTGATTGATTTATTTC